TTTATATGTATGCAAATTACTATTGTGGCTTCTCTCGCTAGTTACCCAGGTATGAAGGAGAGTACATTAATTTAGAGGCAAATATTTACGTACGAGTTTGAATATCTTATGACAGCTTCTAGTCAATTACTAGGCTAGCCTGCTTGTAATTGTGCAAATTTGCAACAAAATACCCCTACATTCAGAAATGCTCCATCTTAAAATAAAGGTAAGTTATCTGCTCCTGGGATGACTTCATTGAATGACAATGTTTCCATTATTTAATTAGTTGCTGTAATAAAACAGCTCCAATTATATTCCAAAAATGAATTGACTACTGCATAAAATATATCACAGAGTTATAGAAACCAGGTTTTTGTAGAAAATACATCGTTTTTCGACCACCAATTGGCGCCCGGAATGAAAATGAAAAGCCTATTGTCAATCATGTTCCAAAAGATGATACTGCATAAAATGTAAGGGAGGCGTTCCGGAAACCAGGAGTTTGTAGTAAAACGTTTTTCGACCCACAATTAGATGAAAGATGAATTAGATGATTAGATGCCAGGATGAAAATTTCCGAAACCTTTCTGCATATATCTACAGGACACAACCAATCATATTCCAAAGGATGATTAGGCTACTTTGTAAAATATACTGAGTGAGAGGAGTCTGAGGAAGAACATAGTTCGACAGTAGAAGAGACTAGGATAACAACAATATACTCAGTACCCGAAATTTCTTTAGAAATTGCTAATTTATTTTTTGTTCCTTTGTTTGTTTGTTGTTGAACGTCCTTCCCGAGAATTTTTCACTTAACATTCTGAATTATTTGCCATGCTTACTGAATTTCAATTCAAATGTCTATAATAGTCTTTTATAATAAATGTATATAATAATAATATAATATAATATAATAATAATATATAATAAATGTCTTTTATAGATTATATCATTGTTTAAGAGACCAAAATATTTCCTTTGTCAATATCTTAAAAATAAAAGGAAGAAATTGGATATACATGTATATATGAAAAAAAATCGACTCTATCAGAAATGTCCAATCTGTAATGTTCGATATAAATTCCTCCTTCAGATTGAATTAAAGTGATAACACATATATAACTCCGTGCATATTTCGGTAAAGAACGGTCCCTGGGTTACGGGTCATTTTTTGTCTGTTGTTAGTCTATTCATCTAATCACATATGGTCATTCAAGGTTTTTAGTTGATAATTATTCAAGAAATCACATGTAAATAGCATTAGCCCCAAGTATTGTCGTTTGTACAGAAAAGGTGAAAAATATCTAAATATTTAAAGAAGCAAATGTTTCGATGTTTCTAATATGGAATAAACTAAATTGCCTATATATATAAACCGGTCAAAGGTTAAGTGTGTTAAACATCTACAGAAAAAGAAACAAATAGTCGCTACTAGAACTGACTTGACAAGGACAGTAAAAATATTATGCATTATTAGAATTTGGCAAAATGACACCCATTAATGATAAAGGCAAAGTTAATTTCAAAAAGGGGGCCTACTGATAATATAAGGTGAGTAGTCAAAATGGACATTGATGACGTATATTATATCAGCAGGTGGTGATACATTTATTAAATTCTTGGTTGGTATTGGTTCATAAGTGAAACAAATATTTTAACCAATATATTCTGTTTCTTAATCCAGCATGGAATATCATTAAAATTTTCAAGGAAAGAAAACTTTATTGCTTTCAAATTTCACAAAAAATGAAATGACGATTCTTTTCACTCAACTGTCTATGCTCAACTGTACATTTAGCTGACATTGTTAAACAAAAATTAATTTCTTTTATATCAAATAAAAATTCAGGTTTAAATGTAATGGTGAATCAAATGAAGTTTTATTTCAGTATATTTCCTGGGACTACATACTTAAAAATGATGGTATGAAACAACAGTCGGGAATTTTAAACAAGAACTTTATTGTTCATTCAGTATAGGGTAAATTGATGTCTTATAAATCCAATATGAGCATCTGCTCCCGAATACTTCACAGAAAGAAATTATACAAATTATTATTTGTTTGATTCGATATCAAAGACAAGATATATTTTATCAGATAAAACTTATCGGCCCATAAATATAAAATTTTGTTAATCGGTGCCTTAATTACATCTTTACATATTCTCTACCCTATTTCAATTACCAGTTCAAAATAATATTCTTTAAAAGTCCAAAGATATCTTCTTTAATTAGAAAAGGTCCTAAGTAGAGCAGACCAATTTTCGGCTCGGGTTTCTTTAAAACTTAGATTAAACAAGGGAATGATAGAAGAAAATGATATATCACCTACTCTTTACGTTTATAGAGAGCTTGTACGTTCGGGAGAGTCTAGTACAAAATGTGGCCATCCTATACAAAATGTGGCGAGGCTTTTGTTGATATTGGAAACTTAATAGGTACGTCTTGATGTTCAGTAGCCCTCGGTTCGATTTAAGCGAGCTGTTGAAAGACTGCTCATTAAGCCTTGTAATTGTCAAATTTGTTCCTAATGCTATACCCATGTGATATATTTGATAGCAAAACCATAAACCAGAGCTCCCGAAGGCAATAACGAACCTCCGAATGACTGAAACTTGCTTTCCTAATTAGAGGCTATAAGGTTTCTTAAAGGTCAAATTTACTCCACCTCTCGGTAAACCTATATTCTTCAATGTTAATCCTTGATAATTCTACATACACATGGCATATGATGGCTATATTTTTAAGATAATTTTTTGAGAGAAAGGAACTAGAATTAGCATACAGATTTCCGGATAACGTTGAAGACATTTGGAACGAAGAATGGAATGTTTTTGGCATCATTATACTCTGGTGGATTTTATAAGCAATAAATAATATGCTGCAAAGGATGGAAAACTGTCAGGAAAAAACGCATCAAGGTATGAATGAATAAGAATGTAGATTAATTTTCTGAAAATGATCATTTAAAAAAAGTTAGCTGACTTTAAATTTTGAGAGAGCAGTCATTAATTCATTTATGGACAATACTGGATAATGAAAAAAATTGTATTGTTTAAAAATATCAAAATTTCAACTAAGCGCATATTGTTATTGAATGTAAATTTTCTTTACTATAAGTTTAGGTTAATAATACTATACACAAGATGATAGAGAGTAATAATGATATTTTCCCCCATTTTATTGACATTTCAAAAAAAAAAAATCAGAGAGCCTTGGAAATAAACTTGATTAGTGCGTCATTTACAAAAAAGCATTTGAAAGGAATGTTATCTTTTAATCAGACAATTGCATTTCAACACGGAACTCATTTGAAGTAAATTTCAGTTAATAGAACTATTTTTAGATTGTTGAAATGTTTAAACAGATGTTCAATTTTCCTGTGAATTATATGCTGTTTTGTTTATTATTGGAGTCTATCTGCACTTGCATGTATTTCAAACACACACATGGATGTTCGAGTGACCCCCAAAGTTTGTTTGGTCAAATTAACATTATCACAGCGAGTTGTTTTGACGGTCAAGGCGACATCACCCCCAGGTACGAACTTTGAAGTGTACTAATGGGGACTCATTACTTATTGTATGGACACGTGTTCCAGGCTGTTAACTAATTATTGAAAATTAGATTTTAATACTAGTTCGGACCCACATGATTAGTAAAACAATTAGCACACAGAAGACGAGCGTAGAGCACCTTTCAAATTGCCATTTTTGGGGGGGCGAAATTTATACGTAGCGGTTAAATTTTGATCTCTAGAAACTATTTTAATTAACCAAAAATGCATAATTTAAATTTAGAATTAAGAATACAAATAGATACTTTTGTAAAATGAGGACCAGGTGCAAAATAAGTTAAAGACAACTAAATTAAGGCAAAATATTAATTTGAAATTGTATCTGACATATCTTAAAATATGTTAAGATACCGTTCCTTTCATTGATTACACCTGAAATTTAATAATCCTAAAATATTTACTTTTCCTTTAGGATTGGTACAAGTAGGAATGAACATGTCATTTATATTTATTCTTTTAAACAACTATCCCCAAATTTAAGATTTTCAGTTATGAAGTTATATTGTATTACAATCCCCAGCACTTATCAGTCTAGGCATGTGAAAAGCACTAGGTTGGCACTTCATTATTTTTTTTTTTAAAAAGTTAAATAATCTTTGACTGTCGTTGCATTCAGTAATGAGCCCACAAAGTTACGCTGTCTATAATCATCTAAAATGATTGACTCTCTTAACGAGCAGATTATGTCTTTAAGACGTCGAAAGCGTTCAATTTACAGTATTAGATGCTGAATTCTATTCGGAGGTGACAAAAGAATTTTGAACTTAATTTTGTCAGATAAATATCTCCAGTGGTAAAGCCGAAAGGAAAATGTCTAATGCAGTGTAAAACCTCTGAAGTAGGGAACAAGAGGAAATCTTCTGCAAGTCCATTGTGTGAAGCTTATAGTCTGGCAATCTTATGTTTATTTTTTCTGCCCATTGAAGAAAAATTTGATAAGCAGTTCGATGTCATACCACATAGTTTAAATTCAATGAAATGGTGGCATTTTGTCAAGTACATATTATTAAAAAATGGAGTAAAGAAGAAAAGAAAAGCACTAATTTTGATGACATTCTGTCAATTGTCTGATACACTTTTAATTATCTTGACAAATCATCTGATGAAAGGTATTTGAAATATTTTGTAAGCTATTTAAAATACTTGAACTTACTGCATTTGCTATGTCGACTGTAGGGAATACAAAGCCATGTCGTGGTATAGGTACAAAAGTCAGTATATTTGAGAGTAACATTGGATTGTTTTTTCTATGGAACATGTTTAGCCCGTTTATGATTTCTGGTCTGACAGTTATGGTTTTTACAAGATCTCCACTGTTTATATCAAAATTCCTGTTTTATTTCAGATATCAAAAGACAAACGTATATATAAGATAAGTCTCGGGATTAAAGAAGAAGTTACAAAGAGAGAAACAACCAATCAAATTCCTTAAAAGATCATGGAGTTCCTTGTCACCCTATCAAGGAACACGAAACATCTCACCCGTGGCATAACAAGTGATGTCTGGACTTATGTTTAGTTTTCATCAATTACATTTATTTATATAATTATCATCGATATACCCCAATGTTGAAGGATCACAATGGAGATTTATATATCATGGGTATCACTAATTGTGAAAGGTAAGTTAAGAAAACTTGCAATTTCTGACATGATTCACAGTTTAAATTTCGATAAAACTTATCTTAATACATGTATATGACAAACTATGAAAAAGTATTCAATATTTTTACCTCAGAATCATTTTTTAAGAAAATTTTTATTCAACTGCGTAAAATAAATTAAATAATTAACTTTCCTTTGACCATTTTCATTCTTCTTTTCCTTTTTATCTCATTTTGCTTTTGCAACATCAAATTAACTTTTTTGTAATATTAATTCTTTTCTTCATCTAATATAAATAATATAATTTAAAAAAAAAATATCATTCTATACTTGTTTTTAAACCAAATTTCACAATTTCAAAAATGTGCATCATTTACTTCTGTACATTAATGCATAAATATGAATTAAAAACTCCCACAACTATTAAATTTTTAATATCAAAAACCTATACTGATGTATCAGACTAGACACCTTTTTGTTTCAAACAATTATCATTGTCTATTGGCTTTTCATAAAAAAAAATATTTTAAAGCTTTTAATCTGACAAATCCATCATATTTTAGAATATATACAAAAATATATGACTTTTTAAAACAGTTAAATAGCAATTTTTGAAATAATGAAATCATTAAAGAAAAATGATAGAAAACGAAAGTTAACAAATTCTCAAATCAACTACGATATATTCACCGTTGTTACATAATTATCGTAGTGCCACATCAGTAATTATCAACAATTAAGATATACATTTAACACACATATCGCTCTTAAAGTGCCAGGTCCATAAACTAACTTGACGGTGTCGGGCATTATTTATGTCATAATAAAGTGTCATCCTTTACATAAACAAGTCATGTGAATTAGAATTGAAATGCATGATGCTAATAGTTGTGAATCAGATTCGTTTTCTGGTTGTTTTGTATATACAATGCATTTCATTAAAAATCTTTGTTAAACTATCGGCAACATTTCTCTGAAATCAAGGAATGCTTGTATATAGAACATCGACCTCTTGAGTACGAATTTGACTGTTTACCTTCAACAAATGAATGAACATTAAACTTTCAAACCTTGTTTTTGTAATATAAGTAATCAAGAGTGAATACACAAATTTACAATCAATATCGGTATGTTATTGTAACACACTTTGTATTACATTGGAGATGAAAAAAAAATTATTAGAGTTTACGTTGTTAAAACATTTTGTACTATTATTGTATAATGTAAATATTTCCTAAAGCAAAGTAATGAAACATAAGGTTTTGAAATCTTTGATAAAAACGCAAATAAAAGTTTTTTGTTTTTTTTTTTTTTTTTTTTTTTTTTTTTTTTTTGCATGAGTAGACATGTAACATATATTATACATGTGTTTCAGACTAGAAGTACACAATAATCAACTGCACTTGATATTTTCTTTCTATTTGGACAATCTTCATAAGCACAATTCACCTTTTCTTCTTTGCTTGGCTAAAAGTTATTAATAAGTTCTTTTAAACAGCCAAATTTATATACCCTTTTACTCTTCATGTATGTTGTCTTAAATATTTGAAAATTTATGTCTCATTATTCATCTTTTTGTACAAGATATAAACAATTTTTATACAACGTATTTGTAACCCTTAAGATATGAGTTAGACTACCTATCGTTGAGTCTTATTTTGACTGACTTGTTTCCCACCGATTCTAGTACTAATTTGACTACGGGTTACTCCGTTTATCATATCAATACAGTTCGCAGGTCGACAGGGGATACTTACTCCTCCTAGGCACCTGATCCCACCTCTGGTGTTGCTATGTTTTTGATTCGTATTCTTTACTGAATTTATAAAATTGATCACTTTTTGTTGTCTTCATCGTTTACATTTAAGTTTCATAATCATCCCACATGACATGCAATTTAGATTTTTTTATTTACGTTGCTATTTTTGCTTACTTCGTGAAAAAGGAAACGCATGATAACATGCTTTTAAATTTAAAGCACATATCAATGGTCATTCATTTGAAAATGAAGCTATACGGCCGTTAATTGGTTTTTAAAGTCAACAAGGTTTTTTTATGTCTGAATTCTATTGGATAATTTCATTAGCAAAGAGTGGATTCATCGAGACAAGGCGCATTAATGAATGTAAATTTATAGAAGATTAATATCATATTGTTAATCAGTGATTACGAATTAGTCTTAGATATTTTAGGTAATAAAAATAGCTACAATAAAACTCATTTGTAGCTTATTCAGAATAAAATTAAGCTTTCATAATTGACAAAAAATGTTTTGGAAGTGATAAGAGATATGAAAGGCATACACAACTATCCTACCAATTTTGTAATTCTGAAAATTAGAGAAAACCCCCTCCCCCTAAATCAGATATAATTATTAGAAAAGTAGAAATTGATTGATTGATTGTTGCTGAATGTCCCTTTCGAGAATTTTTTACTCATATAGAGACGTCGCCGTAAGCCGATGAAGGGCTTCAAATTTAGACCTATACTCGGCATAGTGCCATTGAACACTTTATAGTTCTTTATCGTTTCAACGCCTACTGTGACACGGGAACTCGGTTTTTAATGTCTCATCCGAAAGAACCGCGACTTTCACTTCTAATGCCGGATGATCGGGAGGCCCGGGTTCGATTCTCGTTCGCCGCGCCGCGTCAAACCTAAGATGTAAACATACGTAGTGACTGTTCCTTCGCCAAGCGGTCGGCATTTGAAGAGAAAGCCACAGGTCTTTCGGGTGAGACCTTAAAAACCAAGGTCTCGTGTCACGGTAGGCGTCGGCTTGATAAAGAATCCTCACTGTTCAATGGCCCTGAGTGCCGAGTTTTGTCTAACTTTAAAGCACTTCACCGGTATATGGTGACGTCTCTTTATGAGTGAAAAATTCTCGAACGGGACGTTAAAAAATATACAATCAATCAATCAATCTAATGCCGGGCACTTGACGAAGGAACAATCAGTGTCTCTGTTTACGTTTTAGGTTTGACGCGGCGCGGCGAGCGAGAATAGAACTCAGGCCTCCTGATCACGAAGCGAACGCACCACTAGGCTACCATGACCGGTACAAAGAAGACATAAAATCAATAGAAATACTACATTTGGATAGTACAATCGCTCCGATTAAAAAAATGTTCCAAGAGAAAAGTTTAAAAAGGAAGTACAAGGGAAAAAGCAAAACAATTATATTCCAATAGGTTGATCCGTGTCGCTTGTAGTCAGTTCAAGTAGGGGTCCGTGTTTTTTGCTCTGTTCACGATTGTTATTGAATAATATGATATGATATATTATGTTTATAGAATTTATCAGATTGATCACTGCTCCTTATTTTCACCCTATTCATCTGATGCAGAATATTCAAATAACTCTCCCTAACCACATGCAGACATAGAGCGCTGTATTCTTAGGTACATGTGAAAACTGCTATTTGGTAGTAAAAAAGTGAAAGTCAAATTTTGGCAAATATTGTGGATCTGTTGTGGACCTGCATATCAGTTTAAATTCTTTAGAAAAGTTCGGGTTTTTGAATCGTGCTTTCTGCCTCATAACTATATACTAAGAACATAAACGTTCTAAACACCACAAACAAAATAAGAGTGTGACAGCACTTTAATATTCATTTGAATATTTTTTTTACTAGGAAATGTAAAATTATCAAAAGAGCAAATATTAAAGATTTTGATTGCAATTTAACATGTCTTTTACATGTCTTAAAATTAATGAGTTTCCCCACCAGTTATTGATGTGTTCATGTAGGTCTATTACGTAATAAATTATTTACTTGTCAGAAAAGAAATTTTTAATAAATTTTCAAAGCAAAAAGGTGAGAAAAATTCTTCCACCTGGCGCTAGATTTTCCCGCTGAATGACGCTACATTTGCTGAAATTAACCATATCGAGATAATCAACACAGTTGTGTTGCTTAATTAGACATTCAAAAGATAAAATAATTCTGGGATGGCAGTGTTGACAATTTTTTTTGATAAGAAATGACTTTTATTACAAATATGATTTATGGCACGGGAAGAGGTTTATTTCAATACCGTTATCCTATGCAAGTAAAATATGCTTTGACACAGTATCATTGGGTTTTGATAAAAGGAATTGCATTAATTTTTTTTTATCCTTTTCTCTTCTAATACATCCGGAGAGAATTCACTTAAGATTTGCCCCTAAATAATGAATTTAGTTTATCCACCAATATTTCATATCATCATTTGCTGCATTGCAAATTCAAATACGAAAATCTTATGAAAATAAAACAAAGCTCCTTAAAACAAAGCCGTATGTTTTATAATTGTGTAAAATCTCCGATGAAGTATTTACTTAATTAATGGCTTTTTCGTAAACAAATGTTTAGTTTTCTTTTCATGGTATGCAAGATGCATTTTCAAATAGTTATATTTCTTCTGATTAAGTAATCAGTATGTCAGATCAAAGATATAAATCAAAAGAACATATATGTATTAGACGGATATTTAGGATAGAGGCATGGTATTGGAATATTTTAACTTCCCATGGAAATGAGTAAATAAAAGCCTCTCCAATTTTTCGATGATTGATTTCTTTGAAATCGAAGGAAACAGCGATCCTTTACTGTTACCTATCTGTAATATTCCTAGATTAGGATTTTATTATAAGTCACCTTTCAGTGGGGCTGAAATTTGAGCTAATTATTATCAAAATAGATACATAGAGAGTTTTTGTTACAAAACTGTAGATAGCATAACATAATGATGATACTTTAAAATGATAAATTGCATGGAGCTATTAAATTGATCTATACATGTATAGTAGAAAGTAGACCCAAATCCTTATCAAATATGAAGTAAATTTAAAACACCTAATTTGGCAAAGAATATATTGCATCAATAAAATTATTGAGAACTTTCTTAAGGCATCATAAATATTAAAGCATTTTATATATCTAGCAGAATCACTCGATAGAACAATGCTTTGAAATTGTCCGTTATATTCGTTTGTCAACATGTTGAAAGCATTAGGCAAATAATTATGAAATTTTCACATACGGGTTAAAAAAAATTCCCGCGAACGTAAAATTTGGAGAAAATTTGGAAAAAGGAGTATGAACCACGTTTCAATTTTCACTTTCCACAAATAATAGTATTTCGAGATTAAGGTGGTTCTAGCATCTCCGTAGATGACAGGGAAGGGTAATGGTTCCATCTTACGAAACTTAAAAAAATTGCTTTAAGAATCGGACTAAAATGAAATATCTCTCTAGAAATGTACTTTGTGATTGGTTATGAACTTAAATCATCTTTTGTGGATTCATGTAAATGATCTGTTTTCGATTAGCTAAGGTTTGAATTAGCCGTTCTGGGTAAGGATAAAAATGTTACATGTAAATGTGAGTGAACATTTCCAGATGACGATTCTAATACTAGAAAATGAATATTAGTCATGGAAATGAAGTAAGACAGATATACACAAATATGTGATTCACCTGTTATTCTTAAAAAACACGTCAATCCATCTACTGCACACAAAATAATTGATAAGCATGAAATACAGAACAAATTCAACAAATAAGAAATCTCCCGATTTTTCTCGTAAAATCTTAATTTTCTACTTACGGTTTTGTTCAACTATCAATTATCTTGTAATGTTGATTATTTATCACTATTGCATGGGCTATTGTTCTACAAAACATGTCTACCAATGTGTTGGCATGACAAAAGCACATATATTTATGACAGTCTGATAAAAATATAATACTGAAAACAGACGAAAAAAATTCAAACAAGGAAAAACTTATGATATGTGTAGTTTTTGTGCTAGACAAACCCTTAAAATAACTATTTTGAGAGTCACTGTTCACATTGGTGAAACATCACGTTTTCTAGAAAAACATAACAAAATGTATACTATTTTTTTGTTACTTTCAGTGATATTTCTCCAAACAGTAAACTCTCTAGATGACAATTATGTCCACATAAACTTAAAGTCTGGAGTGGTTAAAGGTTACAGTCCATTTATTTCCTTTCTTACCTCCCCTGTGACTAATCCTGGATCTCGATGTGACAAACAAGTCGTACTTAAAATAGACTTTTCGGGAAAATACCATGGAGCTAAGCTTTACTTAGATTATCTGGAACCTCCTCGATTTTGGACCTTGGATATTTCTGATTCCCCAACTGGAGATGGGTATGGTGGCGACCATGGAACTACTAGTAACATGGCAGAAACTCAGATTCACAATAAGCAATTCAGGATTTATGGGAATGATCTTCCTGGTCATATGGATGCTTCATCAAACGGAGGCTTGTTAATTCATACTACAGATAATTTTGTTAAAAGAGGATCTCGTGTAAAATTGGATATTAGTGATGAAAGAATACAATGGAAGTCTGGGAAAATTAAAGATTTTCTGGAATCTAAATTTCTGTTTACACTTAGTGGACAGGATCCTTTGTATGGAATAAAGGACAACTTTCTATATGTTGGATTAAATCGAGTTGTGGCGGGAAATTACAGAAATGGTAGTGGGTTATGTGATGTCACAATTTCCTTGTACTCTTTTCCAGGTAGGTCATATATCCGTATAAAAAGTGGAACTATCATCTTATGTTAAGTATATACTAATATGCTCATCTGTAACAAGCTTTGTTGTCGAATGCTTGGGAAATATGGTGATGTGTTTCTTGTCTTAAAAAACTCATATCCATTCCTTTAGATAAAGAAATGTTTACTTTCGTACGATATTTAGGTATAAGATTGAGAAAAGACAAAGATATCATGGTGAAAAAAATTGGATTTGCATGAATAGGTTTTCAACCTAGAAATTGGCATCTTTCCTGTAGGAAATTTATTTTGTCTAAGGAAGATCAAACAAGAAAGAAATTCAAATGGCAATTTGACTGTTAATGACACGTTTTACAGAAAAGCTTCGTATATTATGCAGGGAGATCTAGACGTCCCTCACAAGGTAGGCGGCACAGACATTATCACTTCTCACGCTTCAGTGGCATTGTGTTGTGGCATATCTAGCTAGCAAAAAAGCCTCCTATTTTATCAATTGAACCTCATATTAATAATAAAGCACATTATTAGCAAAATATATCATGCAGATATCAAGTTATCAGAGCTTGCATACATAGATATATGGAATAGAAAGCCTTTGATTTATTGAAATCATGATACGCACATCTATGTTACACACATGTTGAGAAGAAACAAAATTTTACCTCATTCGATATTGCACGATTATCGCTTGATTTTCACAGATCGATGTCAAGTTTTGGTATCGAGTTTTGGCTTCTTTTTGTTTTTGGTTTGTTTAAATTAACTTCCTGTTTGGAAGCGAATGAATGAATTGAGCACTAATGACCAACATTTGTAATGTTTTTAAAATATTTTTTTCCTTAAAATGTTGCATAAGGTTTTGTTTCCAATTTTAGCACTTTGGGTATCATTAAATGTGATTATTATATGCGTCATTTGTGAAAGAATTAAGATCATGATATATGAAGTTCTGACAGAATATATCTGTCTTTTAAAAAGATCTGACACAACCTACTAACCATTTAAATTCATTTTCAATCTTGGTCAAAAGATAAATTGATGATATAGAAATCCCAAAATGACACTGATTTTTCCTTTGAATATTTGATTCTTAATAAGCTCATATATCTATAATCTTATTGGAACTTCTTTTTATCCCGAAGAAAAGCCTATGCACATTATTTGATTTATTATCTTTCGGCAAAAGTAAAATAAACATTCATTAAGCCACTGTAAATAAAATGTCTTCTGAGACTTAGATTTATGTGATTTTCATTAATTGGCGAGCTCGATGTGTTGAGATGAAAAGCAAAAACCACAGGAAAAGAAGGGCACCGGATTGATTTGGAGGAGCTCCAAAATGTTTTATTTCTACTGTTTAGTCTAAACCAATGTTTTACAGGAAACCACTTACTCAAAGACTTAATAAGAGATATATATATATATATATATATATATATATATATATATATATATATATATATATATATATATATATATATATATATATATATATATATATTAGGGATGTCAACGAGTACCCGGTTAACCGGGTACTCGATCGAACGTCCGAGTATCGAATACTAAAAATAGTATTCGGTTACTCGGATGTATATTTTTTCTTATTTCAAACTACATATTTTTTTCAAAAACTTATCAAAAAATAACTTAAAGATGCATACGGTAATTAGCGTGTCGTCATCTACACCCGTTAAAGGTGCATGTGTTCCCGTTTTGCACCCATTCGATAATTAGGTATGGAACAATAAGTGTGAAATATGTTTTGATAGCAATTATAGTTAGATAGAATGTTCTATCGTTAAAATGATATTGTCCTACGGACCCGGTTTAACGATAGAATTCGTTCCGTGTATTCGCAATGTAGCAAAATAACACGGGCGATAACTCGAACTCTGTGCATTTTCTATGAAGAATCCAGAGAGTTCCGAAAGTCAACATGGCGTTAAATTTGACGCGAGGAAAAAACGTTGAGAAAATGAGTTGAATTTTCGTATATATATAGATTAATTTTTAGGTTAAAAGGCATATACAATCTCAAAAAGGTTTGTTATGATTAATTTGGTAGTTATTTTCAGTGCAACTCATTTTGTATTCTTCAGAATCATTTCGGAGTGGATCCACTCCGATTTGCTACATTGCAAGTGGGACGTATTCTAACTGTGGTGAGGGCCTGTCCCGAGACACAGTTAGAATATTCTAACTAAATTATAGTCTGATCTCCGTTTGGCAAACCCCCGTAAAACACCCGTTATCGCCTGTGTATATACAGTAATTAGTGACCAATCATTTCGTACACAGCTGTTCTGACGTATTGTGGTCCTTAATTTTTGGATGGCTTCAACGATTGTTTTCAGTCAACATCATTTATGTATGGTCTATGATATTATCTTTAAATCATTTAAAATTATTTAGTTAATATACGGCAGCGAAATCGGACATGCATAAAATGCCGCTACCCACTTCAAAAGTGAAGAAATATTTAGAAATAACTAAAGAATCAGAAAATGTTGAGTCAGTTTGCGTCGTAAATTTAGTGTATACGGGGGAAAACAACCAACATATGAAATAATATTAAACGATCTCAACAAATTCTGTTCCTTCTCTTTCGCTAGTCTGATCATCAAACCTGAGCAACAGATTGTCCTCATTTTGCATTGATCAAATACTAGTAGATGCTAAACAAGAACTGTAAACCATTTGTAATTTTTGGTGTATTAATTTTGTCTTTTGTGTTTATTTGATAAATAAATTTAGTAGCAAAAATCATTTCCGTTGGACTCGATGTTTATATACATTAATAAACGTGATAAAAACAGTTTTGGGGTTTATCAGAGCTAAACGGGGCTCAAGAACACACTTTTTATTTCATATTTACCGAGTACCCGGGTACTCGATCGGAAAAACGTCCGAGTAACCGATTATTAAATATTGACGGATTTGACATCCCTAATATATATATATATATATATATATATATATATATATATATATATATATATATATATATATATATATAAAAGACCGTTTTAACTTGATAAATATCAACAACAAAAAGTTATTTTAAAAATCTTTTTCTTCTTTTACTTACGATGATTATATAAACAGGGTAAACAATTTTTGTCAAAGTGTTAAACAAACTGTTATTAGTAGACCTGAATAACAGTATTTAAAAATCGTTTTCTTAATCAATGATAACAAAAATAAATGTTTATCTTATAAAATGCACGAAAAGCTCCATAGCATATATTCCAAGTGACTTGGCATGGCATTTGTTGTTTAGAAACGCTTTTTGCGTCAGGAATCATATAAAAGTTCTTTATAATATGTGTATAACAAAACAATTGTTGACAGGGGTCTCAAGCATCAGCTGATCTTTCAGACCGGAGTGAAAACTATTGCCTTTAACATTAGGCAACGGTTTGAACACCGACAGATCAACTGTTGCTCTAAACCCCAACCAACAACTGTACACTACTGTGTTGGAAAATTTCTTCTTCCCGCCAAGCGTACAAAATTCCTAAAAATAGAAAGGATCACTTATTAGTGTCTAACGGCTGTTTTACAGAACTTGTAAAACAGCCGTATAAAGGTTAAATGAATTAAAACTTATATGTATTAATCCATTTAATGAAATTTAATGTGTGACATATATAATCATAAAAACATAATGTACGACAGCTAGTGACATTAATGAAAATCATTTTCAAAAACAAGGATGATTGGTATGCGCAATGGTACATTGTGAGCACGTTCATAAAAGTTAAGTATCCTGAGCATGCCCAGTATTGAGCAATCATTGTCCAAGTTTGAAAATAAGGGGTTAAAGTAAATCATCCATGAAGGTGATATCCTCTTTCATAAATTTCCTGCTATGTGAAATTACCAGTTAGTAACTTGAGCATATTATCAATGTGCTCAATCAATATGATGTGATCCAAAAGCTCAATGAAATGACTCATCCATGGCAGGACATTCTCAATTTATAAACAAGATTTCATTCTAACCTGACCTTTAAGCTACAGTAAAAACTAAAAATTATAGAAATTATGATAATGTTTTCTCTATTGCACAACAAATGCAATTCCTTATTTTGATAATAATTTTTAAAAAACTGGTTATATAATCATATACATGTGTATGGTTTGTCTTATTGAGAAATTTTCAATGTACGCTGAAAAATGGCACTGTTTCATCATACGGTTCATCTTATTGAGCAATAATCAATCAAGGAACAGCCTAAACGACATCACTCGTGTATCTCATCTAGGAATATAAGAAATTTCTCTCGCAGTTTACACGAAGGCAGAAGTTTTATGTGCAATCGCAGACGACCGACGATGTAATTATTATTTTATTACCGTAATTCCCGCCAAGTGAATGGAAGATAAACTCTAGTGCCGTAATGTATACACAGAAATTCTTTTCGGTGTTGCCGTCTTTAATACCATAATGAAAAAAATGGTATATGAGCCATCATAACATGTACAGGTGATATTTTGTATATCGTTATATGTGAACATCTACACGGTTACAAAGGGTCAAATAAGTTCACATTTCGTTTGTCTAGACAATAAATATGGCAAATTTACAAGTGACATTCTACTTTACTTCTTATAAGACTACAATTTATTTTCTAACTTTTTCGTATTAAATAAAATAACAGGTTTCAAAGAACAAACGATTTATATCTCTTATCATATAAAATTAATCTATATGCGGAGATATGACATAGACAATTATTTTTAACTGATATTCATTCCTTCTGTTCCAAAGCATGTAAGCAAGAAGATGTATAAATATGCAACTACTTGTATTGACTTTAAAGATAAAACGTCACTATTGCTGGACCTTCTGGCCTTTTTAAATATGGATTGAAGAACTTGGTGTAATTGACGCAGAGAGTGAATCATCTGATAAAGATAGGTGGTTAAACATTACTTTCAGCATTTTCGCTTTAAAGGTTTCTAGCCTGTTTCATCAGCAAGTAATTGGCGCTTTGATACAGATCACATTGGGTTTAAACTGTGCATTTTATTATTGTAGGAGGTAGAATATGATTATAAGTGATTTTTAATAACAGTTCAGCTCTAAATAACGCCAAAATTGCATTCAATCCGGTGCTGGCGAGGCATTTTCTTGCAATTAATGTTTTAAATAACAACAATTATTTTAAGATATTTAAGGGCTATATATATTGAATTAAACTGCCCTCATAATTAGCACGATACTCTGGTACTGATAAAAAATAGAAAATAAAATACTGTTGAAAGGAAATTCATCATTTTTTGCCAGAAATTACACATATACTGTAAATAGTTCGATGACATTGAAAAATTTTTATGAATTTCATTTCAGATCTAAAATGCAATGATATTTTGCTATGACAATACCGTGTTTTGAAAAAAAAAATGAATCTTGATTCTGGAAACATTTAGATTGCTATCGTACAGCACGTATTTTATGGCCAAATTCTTCATTCAATTAGGATCGACCTCAGACGCAATAAAACAAATAGGATTGAAGGTCTACAGACATTCATGATTCCACTGTCACAAAAGCGACCATCTGTGAATATTTTATTTTATATATACTGAAACGTGTAAGAATACTTCACTGTATTTTATGTCTATATGGGACCACAACTTTTTTTTTGTCTCGGACCTACACCAGAAACGTTTTAGGAAAACGTATTGCTTAAGTGTAACAAAGATTTCTCTGACTTCTATCATGGTTTTAGAACTCTTTTAGAAGAGACAGGGACAACGAAAAGAGGTTGTATTGTTTTGTTAAATGTCATGCATCATCGGCTGATATCTGATTAAACCCGACAACACACAGAAAAATGAATCTAGCTTACCGTAATGATAATGAAATTGGCATTTAAAATGACGATATAGTTTACTCGAGGAAGTGCACTTTGCAGTCAAGACGTGTTTCACACTTATAAACATTCTTTCTTTTTTAACCATGTGCAGTTTGGGATGCGGCAATAAAAAGAGGACCTAAAATTCGTCTCCTGTTTTGTTGTTTCCTGAATTCAAAGTGAAACAATAATGGATCATATTAATGTTGAAGACGTTAACATGTGCATTTTTTCACTTATTTTGGATGAAAAATAAGAACTTTGCAAATGGACACTTCTCGTTTCAAACTCCATTGTAAAGTTGTGTTTTGTGGCTTTTTAACAATGATGTGTTCCATTGTTACGGCAAACTTGTCAAGTAACCAATCACGTTCAACTATGCCGCTGATATAGTTTTGTGGACATTTATGATCTTTCATTCAAAAGCATCTTTTTGACGAAAGTCTTAAAATTTGATCCGAAATGCCACCATCATTGAAATTTCATCAGTATGTTACTCATATCTTTTTTACCAAAAATATTGATTTTTGGATAATATTTGCTTAAAAGGGATTGCAAAAATATTGATAAAAAAGTGAAAGTGTTAACCACTGGGTTACGTGAAAAGGCAATGACGGCAAAAATCAGCGTCATCTGTTTGTGTCTCCTCTTAATAATGTTAATGGACGTTTTGGAATGTAAAAAGAATAGCACCAAACGACGACGTAAAGGTATGTCAAGAAGAGAGAGGTAGAGACAGAGAGAGAGAGAGAGAGAGAGAGATTTCAAGCACAACCATGTGGTCATATCAATGCATGCATTTTCACAAAACGTCATTAGACATCCTTTTGTTTTCTTTTGTTTTCCATGCTCATTTGATTAGATAAACCAATATAGATGATTTCCTGCTGATAACATTACAATTAGCTTCAGATTCAGTTTGAATGCGTATGACCTCGAGCAGTTGAGGGTCTTTACGGAAGGGAAAGTGCAATACATGCTGCTTCTTATGTTTTGATCTCAGCGCTATATATCCTGTATTTGCTTCAAGATGATAAAGTGTGCAAACGTCAGAAAAGTTTATATAAAAAAAAAATACTTGTCAATAAATGTTTGCAAAATTGCTCTTATTTGGTATGGATTCTTTGGTAGTGGTGGTAAAGATATCACATAGCAAGGCAATTTAACAAAAAAACAAATCCTAAGAATTTCTTCACATTTTGTATCAACTGTATATATGTAGATCAATGCTGTCATTTGAATAAACTTGTCTTATCATTTGATGTATAGATGTAATTACCTTTTGCTGGATGTAAAGTGGCATCACTTTGGTTGAAATCTATTATAACCACCACATTTCTGAAATTCTGATATCAATCGGATGAGATTCTATCGTCTCTGTATTTATAAAAAGTGTCAAATTTCTCTGTCAAATTATGAAACCGATTTTCAATAAAGAGCGCCGTAATTGTAAATTCCAATCTTTCACTTTGACACAGGATTTAAATAAAAAAATTTGTTACGATAAATAGCAAACTTGAAACATCATTTTAGACCTTTAGATCAAGTATCCAATTACATTTTATGAATCTTTTATAAAATGCGAGAGTGTCACAATGTCATTAAAGATTGAAAAAGGAAAGCACGTAATGAAATTTCCTTAAATTTTCGATTACGTAAACGTCGCTGCTTTGAAGTGGAGCCCTCATGTAGTCGGATTTCCCCTCTCCCCCTACCCCAGTAATGAATACAAAAGTATATTTCAACAGGCTGGTTAGTAAGTAGTCTTATCACAATGTAGAGTTTGATTCTGCTAAGTTTTATAAGCCCAATGGAAACTTCGACATTGTACAGTCACAATTTTAATATCATAATATCTTATATTAAAATAAGACTTGCTGCTGAATATAAGAAGCACCCTAAACTGATATGAACAAAACATAAATGTGTTAATGCCGATGGTTATTTCCTAATGAATGCTTGCGTTATTCACTAGAAACAGAATTTAAATCGCGCTTTCAAACACAACCATTTAATTTCAGATTGTAATTATCAAAGTTCTTTACACAAAAAAATTACATAACGACGTGTAAAATGTCAAACAACATCTTACTGTGTAATAATGAGTCAAAAAAATTCAGTATTTAACTAGCTTTACTTTTATTTGACTGGCAGATAAAAGATTAGTTGCTGCTGTATAAACATCCTGCTATTTTTGCTATCTTTCTTGAATACAACGTCATTTAATTCAGATTGTAAAATTGCAACTGTATCCGCCATTAGAAAAATATTTTCTTCTGAAAAGAAGATTTCATTTTTAAAGCAAAAAGGAACAAACTGCAATGTTTTCTCTTTTTAATAGTTCACATAACAGTTGCATTTATATGTTTTAACCAGTACAGTTGAAATAATACGCCACGACCACATCATTTCAATTCAGAGAGAAAAGCAAAATGCATGAAAATATTTATAGAAGGTTTACGGGTCTACTACAAGGTGGTCGTTTGAGACCACACCTTACCTGAACAATAAATTAATTTTACATAATAAAATGTGTTTATCAGTGAAAAGGATCGTTCGCAAATATGATTGATATGTAAGCTTAATAGACCCCTCCACTCTGTACCTGTCAACAGTCTTTTCTATTAATAATGCCTTTTTCCGGTTGTAAACTTTGAGAGGCCGTAACCTTGAAGCAAATAAGTTGTTCAGTCTGCGACAACATTAAAGAAAACAGCAAGACAATATCTTTGCTTTTATTTGCATTTAACAGCAATAAAAAAATTTATAATACATCACAGGGTCTTAGGGTACCATTGTCTTCAAATATACTCTTCATTGATGAATGCAAATGATCAGGGACAGAATAGAAAATGCTCAAAGTTCGAAATTCTTCGTTACTTTTGATCAGACCACACAGTATGTGATGACCATGTGTCTGGAAGTGTTTACGAGAAATTTGACCAAAACAAAATGCATCTGGCTCCAGGAAGTTGACCCTAGATTGACCTGATAGGTAACATGGGGTCAATTGAGGATAAATCGATGACTGTCACAAGTAAAAGGACGTCAATTGACTTGGTTACCATAGTAGTGACCACAAGAAGTGGTTACTAAAAAGAGTTCTTCCTTACGGCTATATATTTTGCGCAAAGTCAAAAATTTTCTTTTAATGCAATACTAACATTGTAATTTTACAACTATGGTAAACTGAACATTACATTCTATTGAGGACTTTTTGATAGCTATCATTCGGCTGATGTGACTGAATTTGTCTTTGATTACTTTTTATTCTGATTTTTTTTCAGGTAATGCATGTGAAAAAGGTACACACAATTGTCATAGGGATGCTATCTGTATAAATACGAGACGGCGTTATCGATGTCGTTGTAAGCCCGGTTACTATGGAAATGGAAAATTATGTTACGGTAATTCATTCAAGAAAAAACATTCCAGTTCTTTGTTTTATGAAATTTAACATTACATCATATTTTTTCCTGCTTAATGAGACTCATTTTATAGTTCTGAATCCTTAACTTAATGTATTACAATAATATATATATATATAAAAATAATTTTGAAAAGATCTTTTTAGTCAGCGAATATATTTGAGTTTTGCACTGAGTTTCAAAGAAAATATCGGTATATGTTTATCTAGAAATAGACGAATGTAACTATGATAACGGGGGATGTGTACATTTCTGTCAAAACTCCAAAGGCAATTATACATGTAGCTGCAAAGCAGGATTTGATCTGGACAATGATGGACACAATTGTATCGGTAATATACATGTAGTATATGTTTTATGATATAATTAATTAACATTTATACAAAAGTAGTGAAACGCAAAAAATAATATCGTCTGTTTCCTATCTCATCATAGTTTTTACTAAGTCTAGGACCATTTCAATTCCATTTCGTCAAGATGCATTTTCGTCAAGATTCATTTTTGTCTTTTGAAAAGTTACAACATCTACTAGGGGTAAAAAAGAAAATTGAACATCGAAAACAAACTGACGTCATCAAAAATCTTCAGAATGACTAAGTCTGTCTAATATAGATTCAAGTTTAATCAAAGCAAGACCTTAAAGACCAATTGCAAGGTTGGCCACATAATTAATTGAAAATTTCATAGGGGAATATTGAAAGAAAAGAAGATCACAAAAAGAAGTTCTAACTAGAAAATGACACTCAAATTAATGAACGAGATATTTGACAAAAAAATCATCTTTGAAAATCCTTTCTACAAAACTGTTTTCTTGTAGTGGACTAAATATCACATATTTTAATATTGGATTCAATTTTTACAAGAGTCTTAGATAATTCTTTAAATTTCATTTTATCATTGATTATTTTATGTTATTACAAAATACACTGCGGATTGTTGTTAAAACTTTAATACGTCAAAATGATATTTAACAAAAATATCTTATGTTAAAATTTGATAGCACAATCATTTTTACATATTGAATATGAATCGACAGACGCGCTCAAAGATCTCAATAAAGGTGTGCGAAAATTAAAGAAATAAACTAAAGGCAATCTATAGAGAGAGAGAGGAAATCATTAAGAAAGTTTTATTGAAAATGCAATTCAATATGACCGATGTCATTTCTCAATTTTTACATGTAATATCTTGTTTCCATTATATACCATGTAAAAGAAGTAAAAAATAAAATTTAAAGTTAATAGGAAAAATTTTACTTAACCAAGCCTTAAGATAGTAACTGTTACAATCTTCTAGAAGTATTGTTTGATTTTCTTTGATATTGAAGAGCTTTTAGTTTAGTTTAATTTATCAATAGGATAAACTAGATAAATTGATTTACTTAGCATTACGGAATTAATTGAATTTTCAATTTTAAATTAAAAAAAAAAATACATTGCACAAAATTTCAATAATGCTTAGAGATATCAATTCAAAGACACATATTCATTTTAAAAAAAATTCCTGGCATCATCATTACATTCTTAAACATTATTTTGAATGAGATCACAGCTTCCACTTCTAAAGTACACAACTTTTACAAACTTGCTATGTTACGATATACTTTCATTAGATAAGAACGAATGTTTACAAAACAAAGGCGGATGCCAGCACCAATGCCTCAACACATTGGGAGGATATGAGTGCAAGTGCAATGCTGGTTATTCTTTGTCCAAGGACGGAAAATCCTGCCAATGTAAGTTTTCTTTTCAAAATCTTAACAATGTAACTTTCTAACTCAATTGCCTGCAATTTACGTCATAAATAAAGTGCCTGTTAAATGTTTTGTCAGGTTAAATTTCTTCTTATCACAAGACCCCACTAGTTTTACATTGCAACGTGCTCATTAGAATTTATATCAGCGGTATTCTTCAGTACATGTTAAGGGTGATTAGCTGTTAATGTTAATCCGAGTGGATAAGTGACATATATTATTCTGAAGGCAAAGCCAATGATTTGCCATGCTCTTTTTTCACTGTATTAGAGATTGTGTTTAACAAAGTTCACTAAAACCCCCACTTTAAATCTTGTTTTTAAGAAGTATGTTTGGCGAAAATATTGCGCTGTTATCACTAGGGAATAATCCTTGCTTTCGTCTCTAAGTTAAAATTAATGTTTAAGTTTGTGTTATTGTGTACACAATTTTATTCATATTTTTTTCGATAGAAAATCAAACAAGATCAATAGCATTTGCTTCAATTTAAGGACATACGCAACGTACCTTACCTACTGATAATTTTTCAAGATATTCTTAATTTAAGATTATAATGCCATCAGATGTTCGTAGACAAAAAATCATCATGCATTACCAGGGGTTTTGAAAAGAAATCGATTGATGGAAATTAATGTATAATTCAAAGAAAAATATACAAAAATTACCAAACATATATTCATGATGTTTTGTTTATCCAGACTTGTTTTAAAAGAAGTGTACAACAGCATATATAGACATTAAAGTGTAGCACACAGTTCCTTTAAGTATCGGAACTCTTCAACTCAGGGAAAAGACAATAAAGTTCAAACTACCTTGCGTATGTCCTTTATTACTAAATCACTAGTAGCGACTCTTGTATGATTCATGTTAAAATATCAGGAGTATTACGTTTTAATCAGATGGAACATGGTGTGTTGAGAACTTAGGTTGTGACCATCACTGTAGCTCGGGATCAAGTCTTCAATGCGCTTGCAGAACAGGGTATACCCTGATGAGTGACGGGAAACAGTGTCAACGTTAGTACGCATGCGTTCTGGTATTCCTCTCTCAACAAATCTTTTTTGACAAAGAGATATCGAAATAAAAGTTATACTTAAGATATTTGAACTGATAAAGAATTATCGATAGAATAATTTTATGGATAAGTCTGTAATAGTTGCTGGCACAACAAAAAATTACTTCAAAGGTTGATGGATTTGTATATTAGGAAGTACAACTACAGAGACTCACTCATTTACACGTGTTAACTTCAGGGATATGCAAACTCTTCAGTATATATATCATATGTGTGACTTACCTTTCAAATTGATTCAATTCTGCAATTAAGAAGAGCATTTCCATTTCTCGAGATGTTTTATTCTGTTCTCATATTTTTGCAACAGAAACTTGTGCTGTTGGAAATGGAGGTTGTCAGCACAACTGCACCAATTCTCCATCTGGACCAGTCTGCAGCTGTGCTCCTAAATACCTACTGATGGAAAATAATAAGACATGCATAGGTAAAACATGAACTTAAAACAGGTCTCGAAAGAGGCATAAGTGGAATATAATTTTTATAAACAAATATCGTAGGATGAGAAAACTCCATGCACAAAAAATTATTTAAACAAATTCATTGAAAATTAATTGTCAATTATTTCAGATCAATGTTTACAGACTAATTTTGTTTTACAGAGATTGCATTTTTGCACCATCATTCATTTTCGATCATCAATTGTAAAACGTTAAGAATAAATCAATCATCTGGTTAAAAATAGCCTTTCGATGAACCGATATTCATAACAATAATGAGAATAATCAAAATGATAAAAAAAAAAAGGCAAGATGGCGCATAAGACCGTGTAAATGTCTGAATGAATTGATGAAGTCATTTTTTGTAATAATTATTGCGCTGCATTTTCAGTTGGTACATTAAATTTCGTTTATTTGATCATCATTTTAATGCCCTGGTCGTGGAAATAATCAGTAAACCTTCAAAAACAACTTTATCGACAATCACTCATATCCGACATTCTTTTCATCTTGCACTGAATAATTGTATAAGAATAGTATTTTTCGTCAAAATACCAGGACAGTTTATTGCAATGTTCTAACAAGTTTGATAATACGAGCAGTCATTTAAAAATCATAAAAGTCTTGTATTAATGACTTTTAAATTGAATTTCCAATTAAAAGGTTATAACTGATATCTATCCGGAACCAAGGGGGGCTAGTGCAAAATGTCATGTTTACTTGCAGACCAACTTTGGTAATTAATATGTCTGGAAAGCTTGGAGCATTTCATCGGATATCAAAGTGCACTAACGTTTAGAGAGAAATATTCCATTATCTCAACAGACATATTATTTTACATGCACAGATCTAGAGGGTCGATTTTATTCGACAGGTTCAAACGTAGAAATTATATCTGACATTAGAGATGACTTTTTTTCTTCTTTACATGTACATGTAAATGTAAAATCTACGAAGCCCGATAACAAAAAGTAACCATGAGTTTGTGATGTTTTCTGCTTTATTTGCCGACAATTCTTAAATACCGACATAATACTTCCATCGATATTAATTGAAAACCAGAAAAGACAGAGGTTATTAAAGTCAAATTTTCATGATTAGGTAGAGTCTACAAAAAAACGGTGTTGTAAAACAATGGCATCCGACATCCAGATCTTAAACTAATCAGAACCCTACTATCTTAAAGAATCTTTATGTATGTCTGCCTCACAACCATAGAAAATAAGATCATCAGAGAGTTGAATGTCATTTATTTTCCATGTAAAAATATTGCAAAACATGCGGCTGAAAATAAATGACAGAGAAAAACACAAATTAAATAACATAACAGACCAGTTACCTACAGTTCTATGCAAAATGTTACAATTACTCAAACACAACGCATGGTTACCTTTTGTCCAGACCCGTTTCGTTCATCGTAAAAAAAATCTACAACTTCTAAATTGCAAGACTGTTTTAAATTTTACTCGATATCAAAGTTTGCATCATTGGGATTAAACTCAAGTAAACCTATCTCGAAACTAATAACATTGATTCCCGGGGTTTTTTTGTATTAGCATCCTGCGATGTGAACAACGGCGGATGCGATAGAGAGTGTATAGACACTCTGGAGGGACCAAAATGTCAGTGTCCAACGGGCTTCCATCTGCATCAAGACGGGAAAACATGTCTAGGTTTGTCATTATACATGTATCTCTCCTCAGAATATTTTTAGCATAGTGGTTTCTAGCTGTATTAACAGAGTGTATTTGTGATTATTATTTAGATGAAGACGAATGTGCCATCAACAACGGGGGATGTAGTCACAAGTGTTTAAATACAGAGGGAAGCTTTGAATGCGTTTGTCCAAAAGGTTTCAAAGTCCAGTATAACCAACGAGTCTGCGTTGGTAAGTATTGCACTTGATTTCAGCTAAGGAAAAAAGTTAGCATGGAAAAGCAATGAAATGTGAAAGCAATATTTTTTTTTTCATTGTAACAATTGGGGACCTTTTTTCATAGAAATATTGGACAAAAGTTTGTTTTTTTAAAAGTTCGATCTTCAGTGAAACGGCAAATTATTTCCATCGTAGGAATTGGGCATATACGGTTTTTTTCCCATAGAAATATTGGGCAAACCCTAGCAAAAAATACTATAGGTAACTATGGTTTACTATAGTTAACTATAGTAAATCAAAGTGTCAAAATTATCACTATGGTAAATCAAAGTTTTCAAAGTGATCACTTAAGTGTCATAGTGATCACTATATAGTAAATCAAAGTTTTCAAAGTGATCACTATAGTGTCATAGTTATCACTATAGTAAATCAAAGTTTTCACCATAGTTAATCAAAGTTTTAATAGTGATCACTATGGTAAATCAAAGTTTTCATAGTTAACAGTTTAGGAAATCAAAGTGTCAAAGTTATCACTATAGTAATTCAAAGTGTCAAAGTTATCACTATAGTAAATCAAAGTTTTCATAGTGTCAAAGTTATAACCAAGTTAACTATAGTTAACTATAGTATTTTTTTGTTAGGGAAAGTTTCTTTTTTCTTACCTTCGATCTTTACAATGAAATCATATATATATATATATATATATATATATATATATATATATATATATATATATATATATATATATATATATATATATATATATATATATATATATATATCTTTTTCACAGACATCAATGAATGCGAACTCAACACAACATGTGACCATAATTGTGTTAATACACCTGGTAGCTTTTACTGCACCTGCAAGGAAGGATACCAAATTTACGGCTTTACACACTGTGCAGGTTACATTCACAATGAAAGCTTTTCTGAAATTATAGAAAACGTAGATTGAATATTTGTTGATAAAAAAGGTGCCATATGTTGATAATGCTGAGCATCTAAGAATTCCCTGCAATTTTTTTTATTCAAATCAAAAAGCGTAGAATCATCATTGCTTAAGTACACCACTTGCCTAAAACATTGACATTGTTTGCTAGATAAGAATGAGTGTCTGGATGAAAACGGAGGCTGCGAGCACTCTTGTCTCAATACAGAAGGAAGCTTTCAGTGTTTCTGTGGGACTGGCTATAAAATACATTCCAATGGAAAAGATTGCATAGGTACGTGCTCTACATCAATCCAGTAGATGTTTGTCTAGACTAGTGAATTGTTTTTTTTTTCTTTAAGAAAAAATTAAAAGGTTAAAATAATTTCAGTTCTTGAATTTAACCACCATATATTTTTCATGTTAAATTGTTTCATTCGTAAATGAATTTATATCAATCTATTATATGATTCAATCCAATTAAAATCTCTTCTAAATTATCTTTTCATTTTTTATATTTTATTTCCCTTTGACAATGCATATTATAAATACATCGATGTGTTCATTGTATCATTATTGACCACTTTAAGACCTTAACATAGTGTCTTCTTAATGATATGATCTGAAATGAACGTCAATACACAATAAAGGAATTGTATTTCTTAAATGATTATTGTATTTTGGTTTTATTTTATATTTATTTTGGCCGTTTTGTGCCACAATGCAAAAGAAATGACGCATCTATTTATCTACATATTGAGAAACCAATATCAATCTGAGGTCCAATATTTGAGAAAAGGCCCGAAGGCAAAAGGGGTGATATTGACCGAGAATTTAATTAAGCGGTCTTATGAAAATGGATTTTTTATCACTCTTGCTACTCACTAAGAAAATTAGTATTATACCCGCACTTTCTGAAGAAAGTTCGGGTATATTTTTGTTATCCTGATCCACCCTTCCGTCCGTCTGCAAATTATCTTCATCCTAAAACACATTGAGCATACATTTTATGCAGTAGCGATACCATCTTTTAGAATTTGATAAGTGATGTCCTGTAGGTTTCATATTTTTATTTTTACCCTAGGGATAAATTGGGGTCGAAAACCTTGTTTCCAGACTCTTTTAACGTTTTACGCAGTAGCTAAATCTTCTTTTGGGATTAGTACTCTGTAGAGGAACATTATACATGTATAGAGTTTTGCAATTTTCATATACCATACACCCTTGGGGCAAATATGGAGTTGAAAGCAATCTTTTTCTAAGAAAACTTGTTAAATATTTTACGCAGTAACCAATAATCTTTTTGAATAGATTGGTTGTGTCCTGTAGATTTTTGAATTTTCATTTTCAACCAGGAGGACCATTTGGGATGAAAATTTAAAAGGCCTGTTTACACAAAAATGTCTATCCAAAACTCTTTTGTTTGAAGAATTCATCAAATTCCTTATTTTAGGACTGGTAATCCTATTATATAAAATGCTGTTATAAGAGACCCTTGGGCCACATGGCTCAAGTGAAAATTTGAAATCACAAGATTTTACCAAAACCAACAGCTTAAAAACTTACGACTTTTCAACTTTATACACAACCATTCCCAGGATAAATTAAAGTCCAGGCTTTTTGATATCATTGACAGTTGCTTTTTCAAAAAAATGGAACTCGTAAATTTACTTACCTTGTCATTGGTCATTTGCAAAATTATTTTGTTAAAAACATTCTGATTGTACACACAAGTACTCTGAAGTTGACATTAAAAAGATGCTTGAGTTTCTGATTGACAATATCTATGTGGTTTTTGGAGACCAGGTCTTCCAACAATCTATTGGAATTCCCATGGGTATCAATTGCGCCCCGTTATTAGCAGACCTTTTTTTGGTATTCATATCAAGCAGAATTTGTCCAAAATTTTGTACGTGAAAAGAAGAAAACACTTGCTGTGGCCTTCAACTCGACATTTAGATATATCGACGACGTATTGTCAATTAACAATGGCTATTTCCATTCTTATGTCGATACGATATATCCAGGTGAGCTTGAGATAAAAGATACCACAGAGTCTAACACATCTGTTTCATATTTGGATATTTTACTTGAAAAAGACGTTAATGGTAATCTAACAACCAAGCTTTATGATAAACGTGATGACTTTAACTTTTCAATCGTCAACTTCCCTTACTTATGCAGCAATATACCTTCATCATCTGCATACGGGGTATATATATCTCTCTGTACAATTTCTAAAACGAAATAAATCATTGACAAACAAGTTGATGAAACAAGAATATCAGCATTCTCGTTTAAAGTCATCATTTCGTAAGTTCTATGGTCGATACAATGACCATGTCAGCAAATACAATTTATCATTGAGTCAAATGCTGACTGACGTTTTTCATACTAATTGTTAGGCCATTATTTACACACTAAATTGTCGACGGATTTTTCCGTAATTTCCCGATCATGACAAGGAGCACACGGCGGGTGTGACCGGTCGGCAGGGGATGCTCACTCCTCCATGGCACTTGATCCCAACTCTAATGTTTGGAGGTCCGTGTTTGCTCTGCACCTATTTTGTATTGTTTAATGGACTTTCGAGCTTGAATGCTGTTCGTTATCTCCATATATTTCATTGATACATGTTTATACATTTGTATTTATAAACTTACAGAATAACTATTGTTTCTAGCTTCCCACGAACAAAGGGAATCAAACTCTTTCATGTGGGTATTACTGACTAAATCTAGTTATATTATACGTACTTTAACTAAATAATAATACACTGCATGTATGTAAATAGAGGCTTTATCGTATCAAGCAAGTGTTTTTTCCATGATGTTGATTACAATTATTTCTAAGAAAAAAAAATTAAAAATAAACCTACGAAATCTTTAATAAAGCAAATTAATGTTTCTCAAATTATTAGAAGTTAATTTAAAGTGAAAAGCTCGGTATCTGAAATGTCAAAAGATTTAAAAGTTTTGAAAAGTTTGTGTACAAGGGATAACCATGTAATTTATGAATAAATGAGGCGAGTTTGTCGAAAACTCCATGTAAAATCACTATGTCTTACTACAGCATATGTATGCAAGAATTCAATATATTTTTAATATGTAATCATTTATATAACTCACAGAGTGGAACAAATGTTTGCCGTTTGAAGCCCCTGCGAAGACAGTGGCCACTTGTAGACAGTCGGGAGCAGATCAATACTGTTCTCTTCAATGCCAAGCCAACACACATCCGTCCGGTGTCCTGAAAAGTAGTACATACTACTCATGTGGCGCAAGCACACAGTTCCGATGGTCTCATCGTATCAAAAATATTGACCTGCCTTTTTGTTCTGGTAAAATAGAGTTTTAAAATGTTATCTAATTTTTTATCACAGATACGAGTACATTTAAGCGATCACTTGATTAAACTAAATTTTATGATGGAGGAGTTATGTTTAACCTCTGCTTTGTTAGTCATTATTAGACTCTATAACTGAAAAGTAATCAAATTTTACACACTGGATACATGTACAGATATTGGGAAAATGTTATAGTTTTTTTTCTTTTTTTCCTCATCAGCAAATACACATGCTCCATCCGTAACCAAAACAATAAGATTCGTATTTGTGGCCACTAGATGTCGGGTCAAGAAACGCCTTCGACAAGAAGTCAAACAAAACATTACCACCCAACTTAACAGTACGTCCTTCACTACTTTCAAATTTAGTTAAGCAATGCTGTATAAGAGTGAGGAAACATCTACCTTTTATTGCAGCACTGAAGAAATTCAAATGCAGAAATTCGTGCAAAATAAACTACGTCCAAATAGATTGCAAGAACATTCCAAAGAAATTCCGAAGACTAGCAAGAGACATCTCTAAAACAGTAATAGCTGGGAAAATGGAATTAGAAGTGGAACCTTTTGCCATAACTAGTAAGGACTGTAATAATTTTAAAAAAAAGGCGATTTCCTGGAAATCTGAATATATCAATAGCAAAATGACACCATACGTAACTTTGGAATGGTTATCCTATCAAATCATTTTAATTCAGATACTTGCAAATATATCCGTTAACTTTTAGGAAGAGGACAATTATAAGAATGCTAGAAAATGATAAATTTGAAAACTTAACAGCTATTTATTGTGTATTTCGCATATTGCAGTAATATTAAATTGAATCGGAATACATTGATATATGAACTTCAAACATTGATGTTCAAATCTACAGAAAAATGTGATATTCCGTGTACAACTAAAAGGACAGAAAGACGCCTAAAGAAAGCCTATAAAACACTCAGAAAAATGACCAACAAGGCACAGCTTTTCTTTAGGTATTTATAGATTAATAACTACCAAACAGTGATATTGTAGGTACTCATATGCGGTCATTAACAGATGTTCATTTTCTTACAGATATGTGAAAACATACAGAGAATTTTAAATTAGTGCATATCATAGCTGACGGACAGAAGTTCTTAATCTTTTTATTGAAGTTAAAATATTTTTTATATTCTACGATAAATAGTTTTCCTATAGTTATTTATTTAATAATTAATAAATATTGAATATCAAGGGATGTAAATAAAAATGATTTTTTTTCTTTGAAACTATATTATATTTTCATTTATCTATCTTACCAAGCAAATATCTTTACAGATATGATAAACAAGATGTATCTTTCGCTAAAAGATCACTGAAAACGAAGAAGGTATACGGCTATAAATGTCCTACTGGCAGTGTAATGGGAGAACAAGCATGCGGTTAGTTTTGATAACTTAATTTTGAAGGGTAATTACTAGATGATATAATTCATTTTGATAAATAGTAAGTTTAACCAAAAATTTTTGCTGAATACAAGCAAATTTAGTTTTCCGCTTATCATTTCGGCCCAAGATCAAGATATATTTGACTTAATTAATCATTGTAATCACTAGCTCAGTATGTTTTTGTATGGGTGGTAGATGTTGAGATGAAGATATTTAAGGTTTGAGGATTACGTAATCAATGTTCAATTTTTCTTGCAGTGGATTGCAGCACGGGATCGTTTTACAACAGAAGTAGCAATTTATGTGAGTTGTGTCATCCAGGAACCTACCAGGACTCTGAAGGAAAGACAACCTGCAAGAACTGTCCACTCAGCCAGACCGGGGGAGGTATAATTGGTGCCAAGAGTACAACTGAATGTTCAGGTACTTAAAAGCTATGAAATTCCCTCTTTATGCAGAAGTCATGCTAATAGAAACAAAATTTAATAGCAATTATATCAAGAAAACAAAATATTTAAAAAGGTATTCAACATTAAAAAAAATAGTATTAAATACCATCAGTAGAAAATTATATCTATGTACACTTGGAAATTATGTCCCCAATTTAACTTATAGCTTATCTTTAATTTTCGTTTTACTGTTAGTTCTTTGTGGACCTGGAACATATTCATCAAATGGCCAAAATCCTTGCAAGAAATGTCCTCGGGGTAAATACCAAACAGGGTACGGAAGAAGCAGTTGTGTTCACTGTGGTATTGGCTTAACAACATTACAGGAGGGTGGGTCATCTTTCCTAGACTGCAGTACGAAAGGTAATCATCAAGAGACACGTATTTTTACTAAACATGCACAAGTGTGTTGTTAATGTTTCCTAATGAATCAAGGATTTTTTTAAGGACATTGGCAAGGTTCCTGGTTGTCGAATAGAATTTTTCAAGAACTCTTGAGTAGGTTTAATTGTACTAAACAGGCTATATTCTGGATTGTTTAACCTACCAAGCCAGCTTCTTTTTTAGATTTTGTCAAATTAGTGTTTTTGCAATTCCCATTGCATTTCCTATTTAAAATGTTGATAAAAGGGACCTACATAATTTTTCACCATAATAATTCTCCAAAACCCACTTATTTCATATAGTTTTTGTATTATATACATTATTGTATCTTTATTTCCTATGACTTCTAGATATTTTGGCTGAAAATGTATATATAGAAACAAGACAAGGGCATACCGGCACCAATCTTTATTTTTGAGTTACTTCCCTTAACAGCTATATTATTCACAAAGTCAATGGTCAAGAGAGTCAGACTGGTTGACTGATTCTATCATGTAATTGACTGAATTGATTGAAACACACTGAAATAAAAATATTGGCATGGATTTATTTCAATTTTTATTCGTAGTTACTGAATGTTGCTTCCTTCATACAACCTAAGAACTGATCTCAGTCGGTCTACCTTTCAGCATATGTCACATCCCTTCCCAGCATACTGAGCATAATTATGGTAAATAAATGTTGGCTCTTTGTCCCCTGAATACAATTTACAATTAAGCCATTACCACTTTTCTTTCTTCCTGTATAGCTGATTCTACACGTTAAAGGAAGTACACGTGCTTTTGATTACCTCTGAAAACATACGTTTTATTGGTTTTCACCGCTTAGAGAATTCTACACGGGAGATCATTCTCAATCACTATTTCATAAGTGAAAAAACCATGTATTAAACCTTTTTTTCTCCGGAAAACCTTGACTTGCCAATGTCCTTAAATCTGAAAATTAAAATTTTAACTTACCTAGTTTAAATACACGTTTGTACACATGTATTCCAGTTACTTGTGCTGTTGGGAATTTCTTTGATGTTCGAAGACACCAGTGTCTGCCTTGTCCTGTAGGCACCTATCAGCCAATTGCTGGACTCAACTTCTGTCACGCATGCCCAGTCAGTACCTCTACAGACTTCGTTGGGTCTACAAACCAGTCCGATTGCAAAAGTAGGATATATGATTTCTTTTAGATTATTTCTAAATATTAAGATTTAAGATAAATACATTAATATCATCATCTCCATAATAAATTTTTATCTCTTTTACCTTTCTGAAGATCAAAAATGTGGCGGACAGATAGGGAAGTTACAGGGGTACATTGAGAGTCCAAACTTTCCGGGAGACTATCCAAACAGTATCCAGTGTACCTGGAAAATCAAGCCTGGAAAGAAACGACGTATTCTTGTGATCATTCCGGAAATATTCCTGCCAAAAGAAGATCAGTGTGGAGATAAACTGGTCATGCGTAAATCCAGTGAGAATTCATATTTTGAAATAAAGATTATTCTAATAAAAATTTGCTCTTTATTTCCAACGGAATTAAAATAACAGTTGAAAAGTTACCTACCTTTTTCTAGAAGTTGTAATATATAACAGCAGTAGACCATCTGATTTTTTCTTCTCCATGTTAAATCTTTTACCTTTACCTTTTATTTAATCTAATGAGCAGGTAAACCATCATCTCTTACAACTTATGAAGTTTGCGAAACTACAGAGAAGCCAAGAGCTTTTACCTCTCGAAGTAGAAGATTATGGGTCCAGTTTAAGTCTGACTCTAAAAACACTGCTGGGGGATTCTCCATTCCATTCGTAACCTATAACGGTAAGCCTTCAGTCAACATTGAAGTTATTTTGATTACTATATACACTTAAATGTTTTTTTCTTTTCTTTTCACTGTAGAAAATTATTTTGTTTAAAAGTGCCTTTGATTATTTCAGAGGATTACCAACCTTTAATTGAAGATATTGTAAGAGATGGAAGATTGTACAGTTCTTATCAACATCAATCAATTCTAAAGGTTCGTAAACTTCCTTTACACAGTAAAAGGGTAACATTTTAATCCAGCTGTTTTCGTCATTTTAAAGGTCTGACAGACCATGCTTTACACATTATTATTGCATGAGCAACAAGAGAGGCACGGACTATCAAGGCCCAGGGAGGGATATCTATAAGGACCCCGAATTTGTTGTTAATGGACTAGTACACGTGCGTTCAGTTTGGTGGATTTTCCTATATAGTATCACAACTGGTTGGACAGGTTGTGCAGTATATAACATTTTCTGACTTACAGGTCATGTTGGCGTTTGGCGTTAATTTTTACAACATTTAGACTTTTTGCACTGCCCTCCGCCAGATATTCACATGTTCCACAACGTGGGTCACGGCATTTTTGACGACTTGGCATTGTCCGATGTAAATCTTACTCTGGTTAGGATTTTCTTTAGATTGGGTGCCTGTCTCCTGGTATTAATTATTTGTGACTCTTTGATAACGTCTTTCAAATTTTGAAATTGTTCTAAAATAGGAAAAAATCCCCTGGCTGTTCTCAAAATATTGTGGTTGCGTGGATTGTACGTTTCACCATTATCCTTGCGGCGAGTGTTTCTTAGTATTGAAGTAGGAATTGTTTTCTTGCTTTATCAATTCTGGCAATTATAATTCTCCGGATAATGTTCTTTTTTAAATTATGATTTCAATTCTTCTAACCTTTTCGACTGTAAAGATATATCAGTTACTATTGTGCATATGCGTCTTGCAATGTTGTATGGAATATTACGTTTAGTATGCGATGGGTGACATGAATGAAAATCCAAACACTATTGCGAATCTGTTTCTTTGCAGTAAAGATCTGTAATTATTTTGGCATCATCCTTAAGTAGAAAGAGGTCCAGAAAAGGTAGTGGGCTGTCATTCATCTTTCGATGCCGTCCCTGGCCTTAAAAATGATCCCTGTCGAAGTTATATAACTGTTGATTGCAATTGACATGGTGAGGGCGGTTTGTTTTTTCATTCCATATTTTATTTCGATTTTGACACCGTTTTTGTTCACAAAGTCGAACATTTGATTGGTGGAATCTGGTTGGTGTTTTGCAGGGTTATTATTTCTTTGCCTAATTCCTCTCTTCACCATTTCTGCCTACGAGGGATTTTGCTTCATAGTTGTATTTTAAGATTTGGATTTACGTATACTTTTGACTTGTTGGTTCTTATTCCGTGTTTGAGTTTTCCTTGGTATATTGTTAGCAATGTTTGTTCTGTGCCATACGTTGCTTCATGCTTTACTAACCGTGCGATTTTGGATTCAAGTATTTCGTTTGTTTTCTTTTTCTTCTCTTCTTGTATTTTGTTACCAAAGATGGACAAGTTTATCCTGAATTTTCCATTACAGCTTCTGCCTACTACACATCTGTAATTTCCGTATCACACTTTTCAAATTTGCTTTTCAACTTTGGGGCTCGTAGACGAAGAAGTGTGATTTCGGTCTCAATGTTTTGCATTGCAAGATTAATTCTATTTTTGGTCTCCTCGTTTTGTTCTGATTCAATATTCTTTACCCTAAAATAATATTTTATTTGTTTCTCCATCCTTCATAGCGGCAAGGTTTTCATTTTTAAGAGAATTCCAATATGCATGTTTTCTTTCGTTTAAAAGTTTAAACCACAAACCTTTCATTTGGCTTCTCTTCTTGCATGCTTCCTTTTTCAGGTTGATTTCGCTCCATTCCTTAACGATTTCTTGTGCGATAATCCTGGTTGTTAAATTCTTCTGTGAGAATTTCTCTCCGATAATAAAATTTCATGTTTTCCCCTATAAATTCTGGTTTGAGCTTCGATCTATATCTTGAAATGCAGTTGTTAATGAATCGTACTTACTGCAAAGAATCGAAGTTTTTCCTTAGATTTCTTCCAGAATTCTCTCCATTCCGTTATTCTCTGCTTCCGTTTTAGCACGAGTTTGTGACATCCTGGTCTTGTACCAAAAGTAAAATAATTTAAGATAAATCCAGTTTTTGGTACAGTAAAATACTGATATATATCCAATGATTTCAAGATTCACAAGACTCGAACAATCATTTTAACTGTAAGCACTTTCTGCCTTTTAATGGCTCTTCAGAAAGTAACAAAATGAATACCAAATAACAACTTGGGTCACGGCTAGCATTATTAATTACTTGTCAAACATTAATTATGAATTTATAACAATTTCTATTTTAAGATAAAATCACGGTAGATCAGACTACCGTTTTCGCTAACATAATTAAAGAAAATGTTTGTCAATCCTCAAAACTTTGAATAGACCAAAAACTGCAAAGTGTCCCCTACCTCCAAAGTCAACATACACACTGGTCTTCTCTGCATTTGTTATCTCTTGATGTACAAGTAACAACGTGTTTCTTTTCAGATTAGATTTTTTCATATTACATGTATATTTCATAAGCGTAAAGTCATCAAAAGACGATCTTCTTAACAGAATAAAAATTGTTTAAAAAAATAAATAAATAAATATTGCAATATTATTTTACAGGACAGAAAGCTGCTGAGTGTGTTGATGGAAGTCATTTCGCAACCATACAATTATTTCAAATACGCCAACGTGTCTCACACAATGATGCCGACTTCCTTTATACAGTTGCTTACAGAGAAAGTCCAGCGATTCTTTTCCACTTGAGGAATAATCAATCTGTTCTGGCCATCAGATCCACAAACAATGTAGGCATGAGCTGACCAAACAAATCCACACTGAAGATTTGACAGTATCTGTTCTTAACCTTTATACTGCTGTCTTGTGCTTTTTGATTTTTAGTCTCGATTCAGATCACATATCAAGGAGAGATTGAAAGGTATTTGTATATGGATCATTGTAACTTAGATTATTTGATGCAATTGCATCGAAGACGGAAGAGCCTGCAATTGCAGGCGTTGTTTGTTGTTTATGTACATTGTAAATGCTCATTACATGCCAAATTAGTATTTATTTTGTACTCTAAAGTATTCTTTGATAGACTTTTTTTACAATTGTTTTCATGTTCACACAGCATAGACAATGGACATGATATTTGCTTATGAATATATTATCTCGTATCGTTGTTTCCTTTCAACAATTTATTTCATGCTTTATTGCTTGAAAATTAATGCTTCTTTAAAACGCTTTGACTTACTAAGAAATATTGTCTTACTTTAAAGCCTTCATGAAAAATAACAGCTAGTAAAAACTACCTACATGTTTTTATTTAATCTACCGAGAAAAATGTTATCATATACATGTGTATTTAATTTATATCATAAGAATAATTGTTATCCATAATAATTATACAGCTGATTTTATATGATTATACTATTGAAAGAGATGAATTTATAATTAGGAAAATTGAAAATATCTGAAAAACACACTATGTGGATTACATGTTTTCATCGAGTTCGGGATTCTGAACAATTGAGCGTGAAAATATGTATATTGAAGAATAATAATCACGTGTAACCACGTGATTTTTTTTATGTTTGTGCCAGCCATTTTGTGATTGTGATTAATCGAATATTAATTGTAAAGCTCTGTTAACAATAAATAAAGAATTTGAGGTTTTGTATATCATATTGTCAATTTATGATGCAATCGAGCTTGTCGAATACTTTGAAAGTTCTTCGACCGTTGTTGTGACTTTGGTGCAGAGTGGCATATAACTATGGCTATGCATGACCATTTATAGATGGAACATTATTTTCTTCAGAGAAGTGGACAGGCATAGCCCACAAGGTGGAGGATTCTTTTGAGAGAATAGGGTGATAAATGTGACACCTACCAAAAATTACCAAACAGGTTATGGCAATTACATACTTAGAATAATTTTCAGCAATACACAGGTTTAGTAATATTTTGCTATTACAAAATTATGTACAGAAACAGCTACATGTAAGTGAGCACCCCTTTGCATTGTCACATAAATCCGAAAGAGCAAAACTTCTGTTGAAGAACAGATGGGTTAATGCAACGACACGGCAAATACATATATAAGATGGTAAAAGAATTGTGATACAGCATCTATCACACTTAAAATTTTAACTTACAACGACCTGAACCTTCACTTTACACATAAAATGGAATCTTTAGATTGACTTTTAACATCCTTTTTTTAGAAAAGTTTTTTTTTATGATTTCTGAATGCTAAGGCCTATAGGGTTCGCTTTGAAAAAAATATTGCCGACAGACATTTCGATCTGTGATTTTTCGCTAAAGAAATTTAATATCTTGTTCACCAAGGCAAAAAAAGGAAATTTAGACTACATTTAAAAGCAGAGTTTTGAGCAAAACAATGATATTTATAAGGACCAAATTAGCGGTTTCCAAACAGATTGTTGATAAAACAGTTTTTGAAAAGCAAAGTCAAGAGTTTTTGCAATTTATTATTGTGTTCACGCTCAGCATTTGGGTAATTTGAATGTGACAAAAATTTATATCAGTGCAAATGTTTAGTTTTCAAATATTTTTAAAAATCTCAAAATAATGTACCCAGTTCTTAATCATGCTACCATTGAACTTACATCAAGAAAAAAATCCAGCATTTCTTTGTTTTTAACCAACTTTCTCATTCCCTTATTTTTCTATTTGTCTAGTATTTTCACAATGACACAGTTTTGTTCTTAAATAAAATCAGAAAAACTACAAATTACAATGTATCAACTAAATATGACAACCTTTCATTCCAAAAATAGTATCAAACATTAATGATAACAATTGAGAGCTTCCTGTTTTCAATTACCTTGAAGGTTGACACTTTTTCTATTGTCCACTACCGTGCTAGCGGTACCAAATAACCTCAACCTCAAGATTTTATACGCAATATTCACACAATAAAATTTTCAATACACGGGGGAAATTTGCAACTTTTAAAAATTAGACTGCATTTTCTTGGAAAAGGAAAGATCCAATTTACATCCATGTCCCCAATAACTAAATTCACTTCTTAAAGGTGCATAGACACAGATTTGAAGTTTATATTTTCTCAAATTTTCTGTATAATATCACAACTTATATGTTGCTATAGCATTTCACACGAAAATAAAATTAAAAACTTATTTAATCTGGAAATATTGAAACTACGAATTTCGGGAGGCGTTTGATCCAGGGCGAGAGGCAGTCCAGGGCGAGAGGGAGAGTCTTGGTTATGCATTTACAACAGCACATGTGAGAGAGAGTCAGATACGGCAGCCCTGACGGACAACTCGGGACCAGCATTTAAAAAGTTATGTGTTTAAAAGAATTCCACTCTTTGAAAATTATATTGATTAAACCAAAAGATATTTCACACAGCATTATGAAAGTTTAGGAAACAGTGATTTATGTGTTATTTGTGAATTTATATTCAATGTTTCATTTGTGAAAATTACGTATGAGGAAATTCAACACCAAAATTCTGAAAATGTTAAGCAGAGGTGCTGTGATAAGTTAACCCTACTTTCCAGGACACTTCCTAGGACGGTCTGCAGATAGAAATTTCATTTCTATTATTTTTAATTATTTTGTTGTAAAAAGTTATTTTTGTTTTGTTTATTAAATTTTGTTAAAATTTCAGTTTGTTGTTTCCTTGATTTATTCGGGTTCTAAAGGTGTATAACTCACATCTCAACAAGTGAAATAAAATTTATCACATTTAAAACATTAACAGACAACGACCTGATCTTTTACTTTTATCATAAAATACAATCAGTATTGACTTTTGTAATGTATACGATTTGTAAACACTGAGGCCGGCGTTAGAAAATTTTGCCAATAGATATTCCAAATTTTGATTTTTTATTTAAAGAAATGATACATCTTGTTAATCAAGGGGGAAAAAATGAAAAACTAAACCTCACAAGAGAGTTTGGAGCAAAACATATTTTATAAGTATCAAATTAGCGGTTTTAAAACTGTGTATTTGATAAATTTATCAATAGTGAACAATTTTGGCAAATTGTTATCGTGTTATGGCTCAGAATCTACGTAATTTGAAAGTAACCAAAATTTATGTTAGACAAAATGTAGTTTAGTTCTGGGTTGCAGTTTTCAAAAATGCGCTGCTCTGATAGTGCTTATTGAGAGATATTTGTCTCATCTCTTGGATAGATCAACTTTAGAATTAGTCCTTACTTCATAAAGATATGACAGTTTGTGGGCATTTTACGAGGGTCGTTCGATAAATAATGCAAAAGGTCATCTAAAAGTAAGAAAAGTGCGTAAAACATATTCTAAACATTTTCAATCCCTCAAAGCATCCCCTGTTATCTTTTACACATATCTTAAGTCTTTGTACCCATGAACAGTAAACCTCAGCATACCCATCGTTAGGGATGCCCAAAGACAATGATGAATATCACTTTCCATGACATATCTAATATTGTACAATCTTCCTTTGATTGTTTTCATGCATTTTTAGAATAAAAAGACCTCACAATGTCTGAGATCTAGCGAATATGGGGGATTGTAAAGTTCTGTAAACTTTCTTTTCTCCAGAATTTCATTCATTTCTCTGTGCTTATTTGCAGCAGCGATGCCAGGTGCAAGAATATTACCCTGGGGCGGTTTTTGGACTGCCTTTGCAGGAAGTATGTTTATCTTTCCTCAGTGCAATTTGAACATAAAAGTTACCATTGATGGTCCTTCCTTTGGGTGTACCTACATATTTTACTGGACCTCTTCAAAAAAAAGAACGCTAATAAAACATGCCTGGAGCTCTTGTTTCTCTTTACAATAATAAGAACGATAGCTTTTCCTTTGATTCCACATTTTATTATTGATCTTCCTTCTTGGCTATAAAAAGTGTACCCATGTTCGTCATCCATCACGCAAATTTAACAAATTTTCTATTTTGTTAAAATTTAGTGTGTATTTTTCTCTTAAGCTTAAGAAAAAAAGGCGCATATCTGAGAGAAATATTATTATATTCATTTCCATTGTCAGAATTCTATAAAATGTTATATGACGATGAAATGCTTAGTGTTCTAGCAACAGAGCAATGTCTTTGGATGTAAATCTGACATTTTCAGATATCATGTTGCACATTGCATCGATAATTTTTGGTGTCCCTAAAAATTTCAATCGACTGGTTTAACTTTTTATTTTAACTCTCCTTTTTTACTTTTGAATTTCTGAATTAATCTGAAAACTATACAGCGTTAAGAGGGCGGGGTGATCGTGGCCATTTTTACACTATATTGATCTCCTTTAAACTTTTAATATGAATTCTTCGGCGATTCATGTAAAGAAGCACAGTTTTCACATACGCTCTCATTTTCATCTACTTGGCAGAGATCATTTTAAACAGTTTTCAGTTCAGTGTAGTAACCATGCATACTTTAAAAGTGAATTTCTTTGCGAGGACAATAGGAAAAATCATGACGTTTTCTGTGATTAGGAGCCCTTTAATTGAACGTTTCAACTGTGAAAAAATAAAGTTAAATAGATCTACATGTACATTTACTATGACATACTGTTTGTTGCATTATTTATTAAACGACCCTCGTTTTTCAATTCCAGGATAAATGTTTCATGGTAATCTTTATTAAATGTATATCTATATCAAATTTTATATCATTCTGTAGCCTTGGACTATTGGTTTTGATATTCAAAGTGATTTTTTTCTTTGTGCTTTTTTATCTCGGTAGTAAATTTGATACTGGAAATACCCTTCGCAGCATACATGTATTGGTGCCAATTGTTCCCAGGTTGTTCTATGATCTCACTAAAATCTTTTAAATTCTTGAGAAAAGTACAGAAGTCAAACAAAACATTTTTGTGTTCATGACTGTTTAAGCACACATTTTTACTAGAAAGTTACTATTTCATTATTTGTTTGGGTAGAAACTTTAAAAAAGGAAATATTTCTTTCCTTCCAAAATAAAATTAGTGTAGCATATATGCTTTTCCTGTGAACTTTTTCATATATACATGCATATAAAATTTTTAAATAATACTTAAGTCTACATGGAGCTTTTTCTTGGTGAACACAATTATATTTTTTTTAAACAGGTTGTTTGTTCCATCAAATTTCTGCAGGTCCTTTAAACAATGTCTAAATACCATATAAACTTTCATCATGCCAACATCAAATTTTGCACACATAAAAACATTTTTCTTTGTTTTGAACAATATTTCTTATTCCTTTATTTTTCTATTTATATCGTCAACTTTCCTTACTTATGTAGCAATATACCCTTATCACCTGCATATGGGTTATATGTCTCTCAGTTGATACGATACGCAAAAGCTTGCTCTATGTATGAACAATTTCTAAAATGAGGCAAGCTATTGAGAAACAAGTAGATGAAACAAGAATATCAACAGTCTCGTTTGAAGTCATCATTTCACAAGTTTTATGGTCGAAACAATGACCTTGGCAGCACATACATCCTATCATTGAGTCAAATGCTGACTGACTTTTTTCATACTAATTGTTAGGCCATTATTTATACACTGAACTGTCTACAGATTTTTTCGTTTTTATTCGATCATGACAAGGAGCACATGGCGGGTGTGACCGGTCGGCAGGGGATGCTCACTCCTCCATGGCACCTGATCCCACCTCTAAATTATTTTAGGTCCATGTTTGCTCTGCTCCAAATTTGTATCGTTTCATTGGACTTTCGAGATTGAATACTGTTCGTTATCTTCATATTTCATTTCACTACTATGAAAACAACATGATTTTGACCTTGAATAAAATAAAATAAACAAATTGCAGTGAATCAACAACATATAAAATTTCACACCAAAATGGTATAAAATATTGATGATAAAAAACTCTCTAGTTTTCAGTTTAATTCATTAAATCTTATATGTGTAAATTACACAATAAAATTTTCAACATATAAATATATGTATAGCTAAAAAGGGAAAAGCACCAACTGTATCAGTGAGACACATGCTTGATTTATAACCAACTTTCCATGAAGTAAAGGACGATTATTTTCTTTACCGTGCAATATAACAAATAATTATAATTTCTACAGTTCAAAAATATACAATATGATCTTACAGAGAGCATTCAGATCTCAGCTATTCCAAACTCTCTTATTCTATTCTATCTCCAATACATTTAGAAATGGAAAAGTTTTTTATTTTAATCTCTTAACTTTTCTTTCTGAACAGTTCTGCAAAAATTGGGCAACTGCAAAAATTATTTGAATTGGGAGAAGGGTCCATGTAAAATACAAATTTTGCATAACAGAACATTGTAATAATGTTTGTTTAAAAAAATTCAGTATGCTTGTACAAATTACATACTTCAAAATTATGAATACTACAGCTAGCTTTGAGCTGTAAAGTGTAGAGGTCTGAAAAATATCATGATGTAATGCTATCATAAAACCCTCGGCAGCATCGGTAAACTTTGTCATATACATCTTGGAAGGCCTGTATATCATCACTCTGTTAAATTCAAAATAACATGCTGCATGTCACCGAAAACAAATCATTTATTGAAATAAATCTTAACAAGTTTATTAAGTACAAAATTTCAAACTTCAAATAGATATTTTGATGCATGTGCTTGTTTCAATAGTAAATGATTCCTTGATTAATTGGAAATACTTAGTTTTGTTTCTATGTACACTGTACAAATAAACATAAATGTATACTGTACATGCACATAAATTTATGTATTCAAAATTTAGTCCAATCATTGGATATGGAGTTGTTCAGGTAATCATGATTAGCACTACACACACCTGCACCATGTATTGCATTTATTAAAAATTTCTTAGAAAATCCTTGTCCGCTACAAAGCCGCTAAAGTATGAAGCTTTTTTTTTAAAGTACACGTACAGTTTTTATTACAGAATTTCTGGATTTGGTACTTTTACCTACATACACTTATACAATTACTTATATTAGGATTAGGTCACTTACATAATAAGGATCCTCCACATATGTCTTGCTTCCATCTGTGTCGTAGTCACCAAAAATCACCAGCTTAGCTCTACAGTTCTTGGGTTTCAAATCATTTAAATCACTGAAAATATTACAATAACATTGTACAAGTATGTTATCAAATAATATCCCAAATTCACATTAAAATGTAAACCCTACTTCTAAATAAACATAGCTACATGCAACACCTCTGGCTTAAAAAGATCATGTATTAACTTTAATATATGTATGTCCATTATATTTCTCTTGAAACTGATTGCTCTCATCAATCTATTAACAATAAACTAGTTAGAACTGGTCTTTAAAGCCATCTGTGTGTGAAAAATTTGTTAAGGAAGAACTCAGATCTTCCATAAAATTTATAATATGGACAGACCAACAATGCAGTATTTTACTTAATTTCATCCACTTTCTATGGATAATTTATACAGATATGCATATAAACAATAAAATGTCTTATTTTTCTTTGTTAATGTGGAGACTAATGGTTGCAATCATTGCAAAAAAACATTTATGCAGGTTATGTATTTTTCTGCAATGCCCCAACAGTTATCCCTGTATTAACAAACAAAAAAACATTTTGTTGTTTAAATATTATACAAAACACTTATTTCTAAACTTCATTTTTCTAATATGAAAAATTTCAATTCTTGGGGGGAAAAAGATCTCTGTGATAAAAATTGTAACTTTTGAAACTTGTAGACTTCATGCAGTGATTTTGTGAAATTATGCATACAAAATCTGTTTATTCTCTTTACTGAGTTTAACTGAAATGAAAACTCTGGTCAGCATACACAATACAAAGTTTCAAATTTATCTAGTTACCTCATATTATCATCATCCATACCAACTATGTAATCAAAGTCTGAAAAGTCTGCAGGTCTGATCTGAAATAAATGAAATGCAACCATTTGGTAGGCCAGTCAGATCACCCCAAGACATTTATTACAATTACATTAATCTACAGACATCAAGAAATAGGAAAAACTTAATTTGATCTTGATGGCACCCAAAGATTTATGTTCTTTAAAACCATTGTTATGGTATGTTTTGTTTGTTTGTTTGTTGTTTAACGTCCCTCTTGAGAATTTTTCACTCATATGGAGACACCATCACTTGCTGATGGAGAGCTGCAAATTTTGACCTATGTTTGGCACTCAGGGCCATTGAGCAGTGAGGGACCTTTTTCGTGCCAGCACCTACTGCGACACGGGACCTCGGTTTATACGGTCTCATCCGAAGGACCAGTCTCCATGTCCCATGTTAAGGTATGTAATCAAACTTAAGGTATGCCACTCGTCAGCTTTTTAGAAAAGTTCAGTCAGAACCTTCAACTTCAAAATTATTTATTACAATTCAATTTTTATAACATATTTAAGTAAAACAATGCAAATCATTCAACATTCAATTAAAAAACTGCTCTCAAATTGATAAAGAAGCAAGATTTATGATGGACTATTTTTAATTTTTTGGTCTTTTGCCCAGTCTCATTTGAAAAAGTTTAAAGACAATAAAATATATGCAAAACCATCAATGCAACACTAAACAAACACTGGCAATTACCATATTTGAACCATTGCACACCATGTTATGTTTGATCTTTAGAATACATACAGTTATGCAATATTCAGGATTTTACAATGAGAAAAACTATTTGGGTTGGGGCATAAAATTCAGGTCAGTCAGGTAACCATAAACAAACATATTTTTTTTCTAAGGCCCTAAGAATATGAATTCAAATTATTGTATCTCTATACACCTGTATACCTGTCTACATTTGTGGCTGTAGGAGGTGATGCCATTTTTCTGTAGTGTTTTAGTTGTTCTTTTGTCTGGATTTTTCCCCACATGCATATCTATAATTGCAGCACTGTCTACCTTCCACTTAAATAAAGAAAAATACAAACTATGAATACAACAGAAATAATATAAAATAGTTAATAAACAGGACATACACTTTTCTTATCATTTGTGAGCTGTTTCAAAATCTTCAAAATATTGCAAAAAGGCCTGTCTTTTTTTTTTCTTTTTTTTTTACAGTGTATGTGTATTCTTTATATTTTTAAAGGTTTTTTTGCATGTCAGCCAACTTTTCTTATCTATTTCCTATCCTATCTGAGTAAAATGAAAGACTGTGATACTTTTTAACTCAAGCCTTTGAGTTTCTCATCAAGGCCAATCATAAGAAGTTCTGTTGCCCATCATATACAACTAGTAATTTAGACATAATCACTTTATAATAAGTCAACAAAAGCACTTACTGAATCCCTTTCTCCTTTCTTCTCTAACAAGTCTAGAAATAATGCCTCTGAAATGGGTGATCTACAAATGTTACCTGCAGTATCAAATAAAACATATTAATTCATAAAGATGCACAAGTACATAATTTTAGCACAGTTTTATAAGCTCTGTATGTAGTTATGTGTTTTTGATGATGGGTTAATAGCAAATAAACAATGCAAAGTAATTTTTATGAAAGAAAAAGATTTTGAATTAATTTTTTATATCTCAAAACCTTTTTTTTTTTTTTGGTTGAGATTATCTTCCCAGTTCTATGATAAAACTTTTGACTGTAACTTTTACCCAAGAACATATCACCCAGTAACACAGTCATTACTCTTTCTATATATCAACATAAGAACTTCTAAGTCATTAAATTATTAGCCATGTACAAAACTTTTAAAAATTAGATATACATTCAGGACTGTTGTAAGAGCAACATGGTCCACAAGGGCTTGTCAAGAAATATTTGCTTTTTCTAGAATATAGTCACCTTAAATACATTCACTCCTTCTATAAAATACAAAAGGGGGGATCTAGAAGGGTTCACGGGGTGAATATATTTAATTAAGAGGGCACACATCGTGACAAGCCCCATTGCATGGACGCATTTTATTTCATTCAGAACTTATGTCTAAACTTAACATTTATCTAATACTGATATTTGGACCAAACAACTTTGTTGTAAAATGAAGTATAATAAAGCTGCTTTTGCAGCTGACATACCCAAGCAAATGAAGAGGACAGACTTTTTGGCTGTCATTTTTTTCCTTTACCTCGGGATCGGCATTTTATTTAAAAGGTACCGATCCCGGTGCTTTTAAATTTATTTTTTAATTATAATTATTTCAGGAGTATTTAAACACTTTTCCTAATTTAAAAATGTATTGTACCTGTATTAAATATTGATGTTACAATACCGAAAAAATCAACAGTTTTTCCTTACTATTTCTTCTTCTTTTTTTCGTGATGCTGTAAGCTAAAAATTTTTGAAGGCCGCTTACAACAAAATTTACATTGACAACAAAAATGTCGGACACAGGAGCAGATCCACCGAAAAGGAGCAAAAAACTTCCACCAATTTCATCTGAGGATGGAGATGAACCAAAGAAACCTGTCAAAAAGAAAAAGAAGAAAGTTCCAAGCGTTGAAACAAATGGCACAACCTCTCCGAGATCCGATGAAACACCAACAAAGAAAAAGGTGGTGAAAAAGAAAGAGGGTGAAACAGCAGATAAACCAACACCAAAGAAACGTAAGAAACCGGCAACTACGGAGGAAAGCGAAGCAGACCCCACTTCTGCTCGAAGTGCAGCAAGTAAAGACGAGGTAGGCAGACAACGATAGTTCATAACAGAAAATTAGACGAAATAATGTTGCACAGAGGGATGTGTTCATACATGTTTCAGTAAATAGACATTAACGAATTTTTAATGCCTAAGTTAATTGAAATGGGTGAATAATGTTATATTCATTCTTTTATTTAAAAAAAATGAAGGATGTGATTTTTTTTTAAATTAATCACCTGTTAAGTACTTATTTCAACAGATTTCATCGAGCTAGAGGGTATGTCTGGGCTTTGGGGGAACCAGGGATAAATAAGATGGATAAGATATGTTTATATACAATGTCAAGTTCCTGAGCAGGTATTAGGTACATTGTACATGTATGTAAATCTACTTGAAATAAATATTTATGTGAATGCATATATTCTCTCTCCAAGGATGTTACTGGAAGCAAAGCAAGTCTGATATCAAAGGAAACAAAAGGAAGTGGCACACCAAAGAAGAAAGTCAGAAAGAAGAAGAAGCCAGCTTCCACCACAGGCACACCCAGAGAGGAAGATGAATGGGGAGACACACTTACAGCTGAATTGCAAACTATACATGAAGATGTTGTGAGTCCCAAGAGTAAAAAAGAACAGGACGAGGTCCTTTTACATCCCTTTGCAACAGAGGCAGCAGTTTTGAAAAGTCAGCCACTGGAGAAACTTTTCATAGAGACAGACAGTAAGTTTTTGTAGAAGCATATATATATTTCTTTAATATGAATTTGTTTTTGTACAACACGCAGTTGATCACAAGATATTCTTTTCTCCGTCACCCATTGGTCAATATATGTATGTATTTCTCTGTATTCATGAAAAGGTAATGGGCAGTTTCATTGGCAACATCAATGGCTATCCATTGTTGTTAAAAATTATCTTATTTATTATTTTATTATTTATTCTTATCTATAATCAAGAGGCTTTTGTTAGAAAAAAATCAGAGTCTCACAAAGTTATCAGAAAATATGTGCTAATTAAAGTCTTAAGCTCTTTATAAACAAGACTAAATTTATGAAATGATGGATATGGTGTTTATTTAATGTTGAATAGTTTTTAAGGAAGTGAAGAGATTTGAATTTAATCAATGAGATTCAATCTGATTAAAATCAGCTGTTCTGATATGATACCATTTACAAGCATCAGATATTCGTGAGCAGTAGCATATCAGAACAGCTGATTTTATTCAGATTGATCAAAGATATTGATTAAATTGGTTCTTATTTTGTTCGTCAAAAGATTTGTAGAAAAAATGAAATAACTTACTTTTAGTCACATGATGGTCACATTGTATTTTTAATCTTTATGTTATCTGTCTCTATTCTAAATTATGTTCACAATCAGGAATTCCATGTTCACCCATGTAATTATTCTTTCCTCCAGGTGGATTTAAAGGAGAAAACAAAGTGAAATTTGCCAAGAAATGGGCAGAAGAGGAAGCTATCCGGGAACTAGAACCTGATCAGCCCGTTGAGTCCACCATACTGTTTGCGATAGGAACACACAAAGTTTTTGTGACATTCTGTTTGTTTTTACATGGACTTACAGCAGGCATTGCTATGTGGCACCTGACAATGACCTACATATTGTTATATTTCTCATACATTGACTTTTTGGAGCACTATAGAATTTTAGCTCTTCCAGTACAGTGCATGTTTTATATTCTTCTGGTGTTGTGTACAGTTTCAGCCTGTGACAGGTAAGAATCTGATAACCTGATATAATGTAAAAGTTATATACAGTTAAACCTGAGTATCTCAAAAATTCATAAGTTGAAATCAAGGAATATATACATGCATAGGATCGCCCATTGGTTTCTGGTTAGATAAAATTCATATCCAACCACAAACCAATGAGGATTCTTTTTATTACATGTTTTACAAATAGCTATCACATGTTTTACACTGTTTTTATTTGTGAATCCACTTCATTGAATTCATCATACTTGTGATAACAAAAATTCATGAGTTACTCATATTCAGTGGTCCTGACTATATAAATCAGATTTAATGTTTGCTATCTTGAACACTCGGATATCTCAACAACTCAGTGTTAAGCTCAATGTTTCTCAAAAGTCCCACTGAATTTAGATACTGAGCCTTGAGGCTAGACTGTAAAAAGACAGATACACAGAGACATGATAGAGATGAGAAACTTGACAAAAATTTGTAGAATGTAGCTAGTATTGTTTTTCTCATACCAGTAGTTTATAAGGTAACTAAAAAAGAAATGGTATGTAAAAATGAAAGGAATTTATGTCCATTATATGGGGGTTAACAAAAGCATGACTGATAATATCACATCTTTTGATGTTCCTCCTTGGGGGAAATCCCAGAAATACATTTCTGTTATCATGGAAATAATTCAAACATCATTTAAGGAATGATTTTCTATTTCAGATTTGATATTGGATGTCCCACAGGCTGATTTAAGGAATGATTTTCTATTTCAGATTTGATATTGGACGTCCCACACGTAGATTTGTCCTCCAATCTTTTACGTTACAGACAGGAACAGTGTCTATAATCATCTACTTTATAGCTTTAATTCTCAGTCTGTGTATGGCTAATCTAGAGGATAAAATGAATCTGTATGACAAATATCCTCAGCTCTGGGTAGATGCAAATGTAAGTATCATATACATTTTATTAATGTGTATTTTGTTGTTGTATGTAAAACAACTACATAAAGCTTTCTGATAGTTCTTCTCTAAAAATTTTTACTACAGTAACCTGAAAAATGAACATATGTAGACTGAAGAAGTTTTTTTTATTATGAATTATGAATATTATGAATTCCTTGAAGGCAAAATCTCTGAAAGGAAAATAAGATGTAGGGGGATGCTATTTCTTAAAGCTGAACATAACTCGTAAATACTCCAATAGTCCATATGAGTTTTCATATCTTCAATATCAACACTCAAGTAATCCCTTTGCTCTCGGGCTACTGCTACAAGAATGAAAGACTTGTACCTTGTGTTGATTATCTAACTTTGCCTTTATTTACCTTTTATTGCGTTTTTTCATATATTTGTGTTTGTTTGTATTGCACTGATCTGTGCAACTGATGTCTCAATTCCTCAGTTACTTTTTCCCTGGTGTGGCAGATGCAGTAATTATTTTCATCACTGCTGAGTGTTCATAAAAGCAATGAAGGATACTTCCAGACTGGAGAAATCTAAAAGGGGTTTTACACTTAATTGTGACAAGTAATTGCTTATATATAGGGGTTCTAGAGAAAAAGCAGAATAAAAAGAATTATGGTGGAAAAAGATAAGTCTCCTCATTTATAAGTCATGTTCAGCTTTAAATAAGTATTTGATCTTAATAAAAGAGTGTTTTGCTGTGTGCCTGCAATGTAAAATTTACTTAAGAATTACTCCTTCAAGTGTTATATATGTCTATTAATGAAAATCACTTTGCTGTAAGCATCAATTCGTTATAAGCCTGTTCGCTATAAGCGTGTTTTACTGTATTTTAAAAACTACATTCCGGGCATGTTCATGCAATTGACATATAAAATATCCTTGGACTTTCATGACCTAAAATTTATCCTTAATATTTGAGAAAAGCATGAAATTTGTGGTTATTAATAAAAGATATAAAAACCAGAATGAAGAAAAGTCAAAATACAAATGAAAGAAAGCAAAACCAACACAACAGTAATGCCTGTTTGTGTTCATTGAAGTATGCAGTGCGATCAAATCAAACACACCTGGTAAAACACAAACAAAAACAATAACGGAGCTTGCCCATGTTTACAAACACATGTTTGATGTAAGATTCTGAAGAATACCATTGTGATTGAATAAACTTCTAAACAAAACTGCAATACAAGTGTGTCCATGCCCCTTTAACATCATACTCATCTGGGAGAGTCCTTGCCTACTGTCTTATCTTTTGTCCAATTGGAAATAAATATGTTTAATTTAGAATGTTCCCTAATGACCCTGACCTTTTTCCAGACAAATCGTACACTGTCATCAGCTGGTGATGATATATCAACCTGGAGGGACATTAACACAGCCCGCTGTTGCATGGCAATATTAGCCTGGATCGTTCTGTCTATAACAGCTTCCACAGACAGACTAACAGACAATCTCAGGGCTGGAGATGATGAATTTCTCGAAGATGTAGAACTGGGAACTCAACAGAAAGTGTGATTCGAGTGTCTTTATCTATTGTTTTTGTAAACTACGTGCTCAGTGCTTCTTTTTCCAATACAGATCTGAAATAATTGTTTTACTATATAATTTTTGTTTATATATTGTGTATTTGAGGAGAGATTAGGATCATAGCATTATAAGATAGTTCCTATTCCAGACACATGGGTATGAGGATGATTAGAATATGATTTAAATCAAAAATTTAAAATATGAAACAATTAGGCCATCTTTAAACAGTTGTTTGTTTGCCCTCTCCCGACCGACCCACTAAAAATGGCCCAACTCAAAACTTTTTAAACCTCCAGGAAACAATTTTTTAAATTCATTTTGAAGTTTTCACATCCCTTTATTAACTGTTTTGCCTTCATATTGGAGTAAAAAAAAATCCCTACCTACCTACCCAATTTTTTTTTTACCCTGAGTAGAGAGAGGGCAAGCAAACTTTTTTTAAAGATGGCGTTATGGAAATTTAAATGTGTAAATGAGAGATAAACTAAGGAAAAATGAAAAATTTCTGTTGTGTTATTGGAATTGTTCATTGTGTGTATAGATATTATGTTGCTACTTACATGATCAAAGATATTGTTTAAATGACCTCTTTTTTTATTTATTTACATTTTTTGGTTGAAAAAGAGAGGTTGTGGTATATGTATAGACTTTTATTTCTATATATTTAGTCCAGTTCTTTATGATTAGTGTTATAATTTAGGGATTTTTTTTTAAACTGCATAGGTTGTATCTAAGAGTATGTCATTTTCCTCTGCTTATCAGGAGTGAAGCTAAATATGTACTAGTTTTATAATTATTTTTCATTTTCATTAACAATTTAGTTTCAGACTAGAATAATTGATGTTATATTCAATGCATAAGAAGATGATTTTTATACAAATCTTAATTTATACTAGTAAAATGTTCAAAAGGATTGCATTTCTGTTTTTTGCTGTGTATTAACTCACATAGTATTAAGAGCTATTCTATGCAACCTCTCAAACTTTTTTGGCACACGTGGTCAGTATTGGTCACCAATTTTTATAAAACTTTGCCAATTTTTACAACTTAACACCAGAAATATACAGTAAAAATTGGTTATAGCGAAGTATTGGGGACCTGTGAATTTACTTTGCTATATGTACATATAATTCGCAATAACCATATAACAAATTTGTTAAGTACATATAGCAAATTTACAATATACATGTAGTACATGCTATCCTTCTTGTATGACTAACAAATATGTTCAGAGAAGTATTAAATACAAAACTAACCTCATTGAATAAAAGTTTTCTGATTAATTTCTTATATGAATTCCTACAAAAAATAATGTCAGATGAATATTTTTTTTATGATATATATAAGAACTTCGAAAATTCGTTATAAAAGATGTAAAATTCGTCATTTTAAACCTCTATGGGACAAAAATTTACCCTATCAGAATTTGTTATTACCATAAAATTTTTAAAGAAATTTTGAAGAATTTTTCCAGGATTCCAAAAAACTTCACTATATCCATAAATTCACTGTATTCTTGTTCATACTAAACGAGTTTCCCAGTATTTCAAATAAAATTTGGTTGCTATATCTTGGTAGCAATTGTAACAGCCAGAAAAGTTTGAAAAATTTGAGATTCAGCTACTTTGAATCTTTATTGAGCCTAAAAGACCAAGAAAATCAAACTTACACAAAAACATTACACCGTTTTGCCACTTATGCTGTAAAGAAACTAGAACGCCATTTTTCAACAAGTCGGATTTCAAACCGGTGCATAAAAACGATATAAAATTCTTCGTTTGATTTTATATATTATACGCCAATTTTTAACTGCAGCTTTTGGGTACTGCGTCGCCTTCTTACTCCAGACAATCAAATATTTTATTTAAATTGGGTTCATACATATATGTGTAATTCCTCGATGTTTGGTTATAAAGTTATGTTTTAACTGGATGAATCTATATACAAAGTTTTATTAATTCATGACATCGGGTTCCTACAAAACTACGCTTGTCTACGGAATTTTGGGACAACCCTCGTATGTTCATTTGAAGCAAAATACAGTAAGTATTCTAAGTAAACTTTCAGTACTTGGCAACATTTAAAATTTGGAAATTATGAACAATTACAGGTTTGGAAGCCAGCTTGGACATTTCTCATACACATATACATTAGTTGCTTGTTCTATCGAGTGTTTCAAATGTTCTTATGGCATGTTGAAATGACTCCTTAAATTCCCTGTAGTCTTTATTCCCAACAGGAATCATTAATTTCTCAAAACATGTCATAGCTTCTGGAACTTTCTGCTGGGGGTTGGCCATGATGAATTCAGCATTTAGTTGCTCCTGGCTTACAGAAGGACTGGCTAGACCTGTGATGAAATGGTAGAGAGCCCGCGCTTCTTCGTCTACAAATGAGTTCGCATAGAAATCTTAGTGGTGTTCGATAGCGAATTCTTGTTCAACTTTTACGATACATTTTGTGTGCAGTATGCTCAAGCTCTTGTATTTGATGAACAATATCATGGACAATACTGGTATCACAATGAATTGGTATGTACTTCTTCTATTATATAATCTAAGTGTTCTCTGAGAGATCTTGATTCATACAAAAAGCATCATTTAAGAATATTGTACTTGGTGCAAAGACATTTAAAGCTGAACACGACTCGTAAATAGGCATACGCCATTTTCGATATCATATCTACGATGCATGAACACCAGGGTATACTCTTCGCATTCGTTACACCTGACTGCTTTATTGTCACGGGTATCGGCGTGGAATGGCGACCCGTGTTCGTGCTGGTTATCTTGCATTACCTTTGTTTACATTTTATTGTAGTTACGTGTATCTGTTTGTTTGTATACTGCACTGACCATAACTACTATAACTGTAAGTTTCTTTTGTATCTTACTTTCCTGCATTAGACGAGGTATTACAGTTATTTTTTCGCTACCGAGTGATGTATAGCATACGTCCGTCTATACCGGTGTCGACTGATCATACTAAACAGTGTCCAAGTCAGGCCCTTTATATAGGGGTCCTCAGATATAGCGAGAATCCGAATAAAAATGGCGGACACATTGCTTTTACGAATCATTTTCAGCTTTAAGGAATCACTGTCTAGTTAGTAGAGTATGCCAGGGCATCAACGATAGTTGGAACCGTGGGATAATTTGCATAACGGGCGAAGCCCGTTATGCATAAATTATCCCACGTTTCCAACTATCGTTGATGTCCCTGGCATACTCTACTTACTAGACAGTGATTCCTTATATTTCCATTTCATTTTGAAATAAAATTGTAAATTTAGATTTTAAAAATGTAGACTAATAGATTTAAATTACACGAGGCCTCACATGTCAATTTTAATAGTCCCCGCCCACTGACGTCAAACACAAAGACAGCCGCACGAGAATTACATGCATATTAGGCCTCCTTAGAGTCAGACACAAAGACAGCCGCATGAGAATTACATGCATATTATGCCTTCTTAGCTACTGACCTTTCGCTTGGCAAAATTTGCATTCCGTTAGAATGATCAAGAAATCAACTCTCCTAACTTTCAAAGAGTTATCACAGAGAAAACAAATAGAAATGGAAATATTATGTTATTAATGTCTGTGATGATAAATTTCAATATTTTTGTCAATTATTATCAAAAATAAAAATGTAAAGTGACATTTTTACCAAAGATTAATAGTGTATACTCACCATTAATCTCATTAACAGAGCGTATTGCATAATCCTTGGCCTTTTGCAGTTTCTCATTAACACCATTTAAGCCCTCCAGAGCCGGAAGCAAAATTTTCTTCAGATACTCTTTATTAATGGAGTATTCGTCGGAATGAACGAAAAGGGGCTCTAACAAGGAGACGCCTTTTATTTTGTCTAGAAACTTTAGATAATTAAGACCTTTCATCAGTGCATCTATTGCTGGTCTTCTCTCATCAATAATGCTGTATTTTGTCAGCATATGGATTAACTGTTCTCTGCTGTCCATCTACAATATATATCATTTGTGAATATGTGTGAACGATGTTATATTTCATACCGTAATAACTCCTTATATAGTGTTTTGCCCTGAGGAGGTGTAACTTACGTTGAAGTGTTTTCCGGCTGGCCAGCCAATGTGTCCCACCACATTTCCCTCCTCATTCTGAATGACGTCATTTATTTGGTCATCGGTTCTGCACTCTAAGAGCTATCAAGGCAAATTGAGAGCTATTTACCAGGAAGATAATTCAATTTTACGAATAATTTCTATCTCTGAACCACAAACACTAATAAATGGTAATTAAAATTAATTTAAAATGTATCATTCTAGTATATTACAATACGTACGTTAACAGATGGTTATAAGTTTAGTACATGCACAGTGCTTCCCTTTACCAATAAAAATTGGGTGCACTTATGTTTTGAATACAGGCCCGTAGGAAGCAATTTCAGTTGGGGGGGGGGGGGGGCACAGCCATACATTTTCAGTTGAGGGGGCACTATCAACTACCAAAAATTTCTTGACAAGCAAAAAGAAAAAGAAAAAAAGGGTCATCAGACTTTTCATTGAGGGGGCACAAGCATATAGTATCTATGTTTTCTATAGTAATCTATATATCGGCAAAATTATTGGGGGGGGGGGGGGCACGGCCCCCCGTGCCCCCCCCCCCGGTTCCTACGGCCATGGAATATACAAAAATTGAAAACTTAAGATTGTGCCAGTAACAATAAAAATAGGTTCCTATCGGTACAATTTTTAACAAATAAAAAAAGTATATATATAAATACTTGATCAACAAGATATTTCACTTCTGGATTTGGAATGTCTTCTACCGTTAGGTACTGCTCAAAATCTTCATGGTCTACCATGAAATGATACAGTCCTGGATTTAAGTATGGAAATCCACAATCAAAATTCAAAATGGCTTCCACTATTCCAATACCGACTGCAGTCAAATCGTCCAATCTGTCCTGAGCAAAATTTGGCACTAGTCGAGGAAAATTCCCAATAAAGAGTCCCCTGTCTCTGATAGCTTGCAGGAAGAAAGTCGAATAAAACTCTCTTCTAAAACCACCTCCATCATAGTCATATTCCCTAGAATCATCAAAAACGATCATCAAGGACTCGTGGCGAATGGAGGCACTTTTTCTTCGGATTTCAGAGACTTTGCCTTTGTAGTGTGACATTGCAGTTGTGAACATGTCTGATTTCTGGACTTTGAAGCATTGTCTGATCTGTTCCCCACCTATTATTTGTTCCAAAATGGGTCTGATTTTTTCTTTGTACATCCAGAAATCTAAGAAGAAGAATCTGGTTACATAAGATACAGTACCGGGTATGTAATTCAGTAATAAATATTACGATAGCTAAAACATAATAATATCAGTTCACTCATACATGCATATACATGTAATTGTATTCTATTTGATATCCATTGCTTTAATGATTGTTTTGTTGAATTTTATTGAAAAAATCTTTGTTCAGTTATACAAAAAGGTACTCCAGTTGGATCATCTTGTTTATTAAATCAAAAAGGAATCTAAAATAATAGCAATATCTGTATCCAATGTTGCTCGCTTGCTTACTTACTTGCACATGTTGGAATATGGGCAACATCAGCAACCCTCTTAAATGCAGCCTGTAAGGTATCAATGTATAAGTTTTCAGTTTATTTTTTCAGCGTAGAATTTATATTTTGATATTGATATTATAGTAAGCAAATTTTAACCTGAAATTTCTCGCTCGTTTCCTGGGAATGGGAACTGGTCTCACCACCCATCGTTCTATCTGATGCTCAGAGTGTCTTGCTCACTAAAAATCACATACGTCTATGACTTTTTTTTTCTCAGGGAACATGTAGTTGCTGTTTTTGAATTAAGACAAAATAGACTGTTTCTGTGTGTACAAATACAAGGAGAGGTGCATACAAGACTCTGTTCCTTAAATGACATCAAAAAGAACCTTCAGTGTTTTGAGAAATACGACAATGATCGGTACATAGGATTTTATGGTTCGTCTGAACAATAACGGAATATATCTCAGAGGAGGTAAAAATAAAGAGGTGATTTATTCAGCTGAGATTTTTTAAACTACCGTAAACTAAATAATTGAACTCCATTCTCTGGTATATTTCATTGGTAGTAAACAAATCTACTCGAAATACAGATAAACGCTGAAAAACAATATACCTTTAAAATAGTCATGGTATAATCCTGCAAAAACAATGTTCTATTCTTTTTGAGGGAAATACCAACATTTTTAAGTATTTGAATAGAGGTATGTGGGTACTATTGGTTAAAATTCACAGAAAATCACGGACATTCAATAAATGCACAACGGGTATACAATGAATGCACACTCACCTAGTCTAAGATAACATCTGTTTCATTTTGAAACGCCTCGATCTATAAATCCGAGCTATAGTAAGATCAACGCATATCGAAAGTTTATTGATTATTCACGAAACTATTCCAATATCATGCGATGATGTGATATTAAAATGGTTTAAATATACGAATATCATTTTTAGAGGTATTTTTGCGCTTGTTTTAACAAGTTTTGGCAAATTGCCGCGCAGCATATATTAAAACTTCCTATCTTGCATAGACCTATTAAAGCTAATTTACGAGTCAGAGACTTTGGTGTAAACACAGCAATGACAATATATGATTTAAACAACGCTAACTTTGCCTCCATTTTTGTTTACGACCCGGTACGTATCATTGATAGATGTCAATATTGTTCTTTTTCAGGTGTTTTTGACAGGTACGTTGTACGTAGAGATTTTCTTTATCAGGATTCGTTCTTTTAAGAACATCATAAATTAATGATTTTAAAAAAAAAATGACAATGTTCTTAACTTTTTTTCTAAAATGGTGCTTTGATTATTCAGTTTAAATATTTAAACTGACTTCAGGGTGCCAATGACACTCAGGTATCAGGTAAACATATTGTATTTTAACGGTTCTAATCAACAATAGTAAGGTCTGTGTTTAAATAAACTTATCAAACCTCTTTTCTCATTTTGAAAAATGCTGTGAATATAAGTTTCGCTTGCTTTGTTTATTTCTTTTGTTTAAATGGTTGTCCATTTTCTAGATATTTCAGGAAAAATCAACAGAATTCACATGCAAATAATGTCAAAATGGGAGGTCAGAGTGGATCAAAGGAGGAAGCCCCACCAGGTAGGTTATACATGTAGTTAGTTATCCCCCTCATATCCAAAGAGGGGGGTACCTATTGTAATACTTTATTTGTGGATATTGGGGGAAAACTTGTTTTCTTATACCATTATTTTAACAGAATATTCAGCATATTTCATTTCTCACAGTGTAATTCATGCATTATTAAGAAAGAAAATTGCAACGCAGTGAAAATTTGATACCGACTCGCAAATGAAAATCAAATTTCGTCTTCGAAGTTTCATCATGACAGAAGGAAGGGTTTTCAGTGTGAATTGTATTGTAATTGTGTATCAAATTTTGTTCAATACTAGTAGATATTTTAGTAGGATTGAATAATCACTACAAGTATGATACAATAAGGTTTAAATACAATAAAAGACATGTGCATGATTTAGGACATTCATATTCATATACATAAACATTGTTGATATCATTTTGAATACAGTTGGATAATTCATACACGATATTTTGACCTGCTTAAAATATTTAAAATTAATGTTATAGATTACAGACTCTTTTACAGACAAGGGTCAAGTCTATATAGATTAGAATCTTTTCTATCGATTTTCAATTTTAGTGGATATGTACATGATGAATGCAAATTTCGTAATTTATAGATAATTTTTTGTATTAAGCAAATTATTTTTAAACAACATGTACATGTACGATTTCTCAGTTTTATTTGTGCTTATAATTTATTATACAAATACAAAAAAAAATGAAATTCTACGAGTATTTAAAACACATTAGAACTCAGGGAATGGGGGGGGGGGATGATAGTATTACATCATGTACATATCCTCGGGAGTTTCTTGTTTAAAATGACTGGGAAAGCAAATACTCAAGTGTAGTTTATCTTAAATGACAATTAACATACTTAATTCCATTGAACTAACAAAAGTTGATTACTGAGAATATGACATCAAAATAAAAACTTTCTATTTCTTTTTTGACAGTTTCACAGTCTCAACATCAAACGTTTCAGACAGTGATGACAGATTTGCGTCGTCAACAAATAGGAAAAAGAGTTATTCTAAAAGTTGACAGGTCAAGTCTTCTACAGGGTGCTTTTTCGCATTTCAAAGTAAAAGGGAGCGAACTGAATCCATTGGACGTCAAATTTCATACAGAGAGAAATGAAGAACCCTGTACAAATTTAGGAGGCCCGAACCGAGAATTTTTCACTCTAATTCTCGAAGAATTCAAATCTCCCAAACTGGATCTCTTTGAAGGTCCAGGAAGCTACCTTTTACCAGTGAACAACAGAAAAGCCTTAAATGGAGACATGTTTTATCTGTTTGGGAAAATTTCGGTCATTTCGGTAATTTCCGAAGGACCGGGTTTTCCCTATTTCCCTCCGTTTTTGGTGAGCTATTTGAGGGGTCGAGAATTTGAACACGAACTAAGTAGTTTGTACATAGTAAATACGTTCCTGACAGACTATATAAACCAGGTAACTATTAACCTGCATTATTTACTATTTAGTATTCATAGACACAGTTAAGTGTTAAGTGTTTCATCTCTTTATAACAACGATTATTACAAGTCTGTTGATAAAATTACTAAGGTTGCTTCCCTTTCTATTTACTAATATAGTATACATGACAAGATAATTTGGATCTTAAGTTAACATTGATACAATTCATTGCAATTGGTAATTATATTTTTTAACATGAATATCATATATTTTAAAACGATTTAATTTAAAATTCAATTAAACTTCTACATGGTTATTCCAACAGTGGCAAACCAGTCACCATTGCATTGCCTTTGTTATGTTCAAGAAAAAAATCTTACATTTTAAGATATGCAATGCAACTAGCCAAGAGGATCTGGACAGAATCATTGGCGAAGACGAAGAACGATTCATGGAAAACTGCGGGTGGGCACGCACTGATATGGTAACAGTAAGTATCTATTTCTCTACCATAAAAAGCAAATTATCCTTTCATATATATATAAAAAGTTTTGTTTTAGAATTAAACGAAGGTTTGCAATTCAGTGCTCACAAATATTTAAGGGTCGATATGACAAGTTAGAATTCAGAAGTTTGGAATTTATTATTCTTGCATGATTGTCAGTTTGACAATGACAGTGACAAGTCTTATTATCTTTTAAAAATGTACAAACTACATATACATTGTAGAGAGGGGGTAAGAAAATATAAAATACAAACACAGAGAGAGAGAATATAATACATAGATATACAAAATAATGATAACCATTGTGAAAAAAGTACAAGTAGACTAATGGTAGTATTATTACAGAGGGAAAACACTGATATTATAGTACATTTAAACATTAATTTCACAGTAAAGAATCATTTTGAAATATTTACTTTTCCAAATACCGGTATTTTTCCTTAAGATTCTTTGTAAATGAGAAAAAGTTCACTTTCTCGTGAACTACATGTACCATGGGATGAGTAAGAAATTTCCATTGTGATGGGATTGAAGTCAAAAAATAGTGCGAACTTTTAAAAAAAATATCGTTGAATGTCAAAAATATGTGGCAAGTCATCAGAAAAATAATGTAAAGACATGTATAAGATATGAATTTAATTTTTGAACTACAAAGCTTCACGCCTGCATGTTTATCATGAAGCGCTAACGCGCTTCATGAAATATGCCGGCGTGAAGCGTCGTATAGTTCATGTCCTCATGAATCTTTAAAAATTAAATTATTCTCTTAAATTCTTACCAGTAATCACACCTATGATATTGTAATAACACTGATATTACAATACAATTATAAAGCTGGTATAACAGTACAAAAACAATAATGATATAAAATAGTACAATATTTAAACCCATATCTCCAAATATGGAAGAAGTGATAAAAGTCAACCGAATCAAGATTCTTCCACTTATGTAAAGTACGAACTGTCAATACAATTCTGTACGTACCTCCACTAACTTTGTACAAATAATATTAAAAGATATAAAATTAAATTATGATACGTTTTTCTTTGTTGTGACATACGAGGTAAAAGGGTTGCAGTAATTACAGAAAAAAATACATAATCAAATTATGTGGGTAATCCGAGTTTTTCTTTCTCTCTATAATATTGCAACAGTTAGACTCTGTAAGCTAGTAGCATTAGCACAACAAAGACAGGTTTTTGATTGTGTAAGTAATCAGGCTGATATTATAGTACATGTATAAGGAATAAAATCTATGTTAAAGGACAGGAATCATATTGAGAACATAGAATAGAAATAATACTGATATTATTGCAGGATAATCACACTCATATTATGAAAGAAATTTGACATATTTAAGTACACTCGTACTATATTTGCTATACTAATGTTATAGTACTATATTTATTGTCATGATAGTATAGTGTAGTAAAACACTCACACCTATCGAAAAGAAATAACTACAGTATACACTTATTTCATGACTACGAGGGGAACAGTCAAACTGTTGTCCCGAGGTAATGGGGAAGACCTGGGAAACTGTTGCCCGAGGCCGAAGGCCGAGGGCAACAGTTTCCCAGGTCTTCCCCATTATCGAGGGACAACAGTTTGACTGTTTCCCGAGTTGTCATGAAATAAGTGTTTTATTACCTAACCTACTATACAATTTCTTAAAGTAATGATATCGACATAATAATCAATGGCTTTTAAAATACATTGACAAAAGAAGATGGGTGAACAAGGCGGGCGAAGTGCCTATAGTGCGACAAACATGAAGTGAAAAATAAAATCTCAATTATATAAAAATTTTCTTTGATATTTCATCTAGCATTAAAGTATATTTTATGCTAAATCTCTACAATTTACAAAAATCTCACAAAGACTGAAATTATTTGCCTACGAAATACCATACACACACTAAAGAGGACAAAAAGGATCATTTTCTCACACTTTAACAAAATTTTTCGATATGAGTGGGTCTTCGCTCCATTTTTTTGAAAGTTGATCCTAAAAGTTTGCATAAAAATATACATTTTTTGGTTTACAAAAACATGGAGAAAAGACCCACTATACCTTAAAAGTACACTTTTATGACAAAGCATTCGCATCTTTCCGAGAAATACTTGAAGTCCATTAAGTCAAGGGTCATATCACAAACATGATTTAAATGCCACTTTTCGTCAGGAGCTGCGTGGCGTAGTGGTTAGCGTGTTAGTCTCAAAACAATACGATACTCCGGATTTTTATTGATAGGGGTTCGAATCCCACGAATACCATTTTATTTTTTTTAATAAAAGAATAATTTTTTCCGAGATCTTTTTTCTCAGGAAAGTTTTGTTAATCATAATTTCATAAATTTCAATAATGAGAACTTTATTTTAAATACTTAATTCACAAATTGAATATGATTTTATCAATATCTGAAGCTATAGGCATTCTGCACGCCTTGTTCACCCATCTTCTTTGTATTATTTTTTAAAACCAAACTAAACAAGTTGAATATTAATCAAATATTCACACCGATTGGTGTAAAATCAGAAAAATTAATGGGTGTGATATTATCATGCACTAATAAATGAAAAAAAAAAAAACATGTAGTAAACAACATAATGATGTCTTAAAAATTTGAATATTGCACGTTTATGGCAAAGATCTATACTGAATGAAAGGGGCCTACATTTTTCCCAAACTACCCTCAGAAAAGGTGTTCATGGCCTCTTCTTTGAAATGATATTAAATTGAATATATATATTTAAATTGGTATCAGGTTACTTTTCAGATGATAATTTCAAATTCAATAAAAATGCTTCAATTTATATATAATTCAATATTATAGCTGTAAAGTACGGGAAATTAACTATGACGTCATAATGGAACAGTTCAGCCATGCAACAGTTCATTCTGTGACCGGGTAAACAGTTTTGACTGTTTCATGATTTGCAAAAACATTAAAAAGAATCAGGAAACAGTTCAAAATGCCTAATTACAATTTATATAGTAGGTTAGGTAATAATGAAACCTGTCTAATGCGACATGCACTGGGAGACGAATTTAGTGTTGAAATAGACAGGGTGTCGGATTGCGCAGTGTAAAAAACTATTAAAATTGTAAAATTGGAATTAAATTTAACGTCGGAGTTCACAGTGTGACGGATTGTACAGGTGTCAGACTAGACAGTTTTCACTGTATTACTAAAGAGGTATTGATATTCCAGATGAAGAGTACAGCATTTTATCATCGAAGTTATAAAGATATTCTCTTATCTAGTTAATTATTTTTCCTAAAAGTATGCAAAGAAAATTTGAAGATCATGTACTATAGTAGCAAAGAAATGATGTTAACAATGAATATTGTAAGAAAATATTCTCATTTTAGTTAAGTAAGCGTATGATGTATGTTCAAACTCTGATTCGATGGGAGTTGTTCGACAAAAGAAGAGACGTGTACGACCAACTGAAGAAAGGCTTGAACGTGTTGAACTTTCTTGATCTCACAAAAGATCTGCAGGACTTCGAACATTTGTACATGTGTCGAAGCAAACATAAAACAACAGCTGACTATATCCGGAAAAAGTTATTACCGGAAGTAAAAAGATTACAGCCAAGGGATAAGGAAGAAGAGGACGCAAAGAAGTTTACATTACGATGTCTCAAAGATTTGGAAGGTAGACTCTTTTGATGTTTCTTTTCTCTCCTATCTTTACCTTAGTTTCAAAGAAAGTTGTTTCAAAAGTCGTTCTATCATTCCTTATAAATGTTTTCACTGTTACCAAAATAAGTTCCGATTCAATTCATAATTCAAAGTTATTGACAAAAATTTATTTAGTTTTAGAAGTTCAGTTTATCAGTATATCTGACCGGTCGGCAAGGGATGCTTACTCCTCCATGGCATCTGACCCCACTTCTGATGTTTTTAGAGGTCCATGTTTGCTCTGCTTTAATTTGTACTGTTCCGGACTTTTGAGCTTGATTACAGTTTGTTGTTTTTATATACTTTTTTTTAAACAATACAATTCAAATCTTGTAGATGAAGAGGCTGCGTACTTGTTTCAATTCATTACGGGTCTTGACGATTTACCAGCGCAGGAACTTCCCGTAAGCGTAGAGTTCAACAGGTTTAACCGTGCAGCGGAACTACCAGAAGCAATTACTTGTGTGCAAAGACTTATACTACCTCTTGGAAACAAATCGAAAATCCAGCTTTATTCATCTTTTGACAAAGCCCTTAAATTTGGAAGAATAGGATTTGCCGAAAAAACAAGTGCAAGCAAATAGACATACAAATGATTTTTTGCGGATATATATAAAAAAAATATATACATTGTATACAAAAATATATATAAAAAACTTTTAATGCTTAAATCGAATGCTCATTACTAGATTTGATATTCTCGGGAAAATTTTTGTTACAGTCAAGCATAAAATATACGCCACTTTCAAGTGTTTCGCTGCATATCAATGATGATAATATTTTGAAGTGTTAAGTTGCAATATCAAAACAGCAAATTAATTAATAAAAAGTTACCAGCTTATATATATGTATGCACGTATGATTAACTATAAAATACATAATTATCCTACTTCTTTGCAGAATTGTTCTAATGGGAAAGTCATACATCAAACATTCTAGTAACTTAGTTCTGTAAAAAGAGAAGTTCATATATCTTGAGCATAAACATGACGCTAGATAGCACAAAAAAAGCTTAATTAATGCGTTCGGAACATCAGAAGGAACATCAGGAAGAGACGTCTTCTTTTTTTCAAGGATTGGTAAAGCAGGTATATACGTACATCTTAGTTGTCTCTCTTGATGTAATCATCTATTCTTCTGTAAAACTTTCTGTTTTAAATTAATGACAACATTGACTTTCTGCGTTTCGTAATTTTTTTTTTTTTACCTTCAGTGAATAGCAGTGCCCTGCCACGAACTTTTTGTTGTTTACAAGTTCCTAGGTTTACAAGGCCATTATTTCCTTTCCTTAAAATAAGAACATATATATTTTACTAGATGACTACATGTATAATCAGCCCTAATGCTTTTAATTAAACAAGGTCAAATTTGGCAACGGAACTGACCCGGACAATCACGTGTTTGCAAAAAAACCCAGGTAACTTTGAACAAAGTCCTTGAAATTAAAACAATATAATTCATAAATATCTGTATCTCAATGAATCTCAACATGACTGTTTTTTTTTTCTGATATTCTTTCTTTATTATTATTATTATTGTAATATTTTCCACCCATCTTAAGCAAACCACATGCTTAGAATTGATGAAAAACAAGTTGTTTATCAAAACTGTGCATGACAGCATATAGCAGGCTTTTTGCAGAAAATGCCCATAACATCTGATAAATGTGCACGGCAATGTTTCCCTTGTCCACCTGTACTTTTGTAAATAAATTGTCCATCATAATTATTTTGACAGATGTGTAAAAGAAACTGACCGAATTTTTCTATATGTGCGCAGTTTGTTTATTTAACAATGTGAAAAATGATCTTTTTGTTTTTCCATATAAATTATAGAAAAGACATAATGAACAGTGATTAAATAATGTAAAGATATGGTGTATAGTCCTCTTTGATTTGTAACATCCATAAATGAGATTTTAGAACAAGAAATCTACAAGAAATTGATTAAGAATGTAGATTTCATTTTAGAAGACAGGAACCTCTAAAATAATTATTAAAGGATTTATCATGGTGACATATGTAATAATTACAAAAAATTTTAATACCAGTCATAAATTCATAAACCTAACCTATATATCGGATCTACATGTATGTCTCTTCTAATAAATAAACAAATATAACAACTGAATACAATTACATGTACGTATTAGTATATCATAACTAGTACGTCATATATCTATGTTAACTGGATATAGGCAATCAGTTTGCCAGGGATATTGATAAAAGATTTTCCAAACCATTTAAATACATTGTATCAAACGAAATGTTTAATCCAGTGTTAATATATACTTTTTATGCCTCCGTTATATTTGTCCGTCCGTCTGTAGCCGTATGTCTGTTCCGCAAAAACTTTAACCTTGCCCATAACATTTGATCGGTTGGAGCTAGGTCTTTCGTTCTTTACATGAGTGTTCTTTGTGACAAGACCTTAATTGGGTACCAACATATTTGACCTCTTTTCCTTGGCCGTGGAGTTTGACCCACTGTTGCAAAATTTTACCAAACTTCAACTTTAGCTATAACTTTTAAGCGGTTGGTACTATGGCTTTCACGCTTCACATGTGCCTCTCGTGATGACAGCTTCCCTCGGGTACAGATATTTTTTTACCTTGACCTTGGAGTTGACTCATTTAAGAAACTTTAACCTTTGCCATACGGGAACATCAATGTTTCACAAACACATCTTGTTTTTCTAAGATTTGAGTGACAATCATCTTCTACACTATCTAAAGAACATATAGTACATAATCTTTCAGTTATGCCTTGCTCTAATTATACTGTACCGTCTCAATTCTAATCGGAAGTTTATTACATGTGAACTGTGCAAGTATAGATATATGGCAATTTAATAGACTATGGTCCTGAACAATTATCCAACGTCCTGCACGCCATTTTCACACTTATGCCATACACTGTTTTTTAAAGAGGAATGCCGCACCAAAATGTAATTTCAAAGACATTTAAGACATCCGTGATAAGTAGTGGTTTCAACATTAAAAGGTCAATATTAGCCTTTTAATTATTTAATAAGAATTCTTTCCCTATTTTTCATAGAATTGAGAAATTTTAGAGAAAATAATTTTTAAATTTTGGCCAATCCCGGTCAAAATTAAACTGATCCCAACCAGAGTTTTGTAATAATTGGAAATAGATAACATTTTCACAAGAATACTAGTTTGTTTAGGTGTAATACAGGTTAAAAAGTAATTGAACTTGATAATGAAAAAAAAATTCTTGGTGGTAAATACAAAAAGAGGGCAGTAAATCATTATTTTATTTATTTTGTGTTAATTTTGATCGGGATCAGTTTAATTTTGATCGGAATTAGTCCAAATATTAAAATAATTATTTTCCCTAAAATTTCTCAATTTCATTTCAATTTCTTTTTAAAACATGATTGCCTATCATTTTCTCCCTAGTTGTGACTAGTTTTATGAAGATTTTAACCATAGGTTTCAAAAATATTCACAAATTATGTGTTTTATTTTCATAATTAATTTTTTATTTAAAAAATTAAAATGTCTATCCAGCCTTTATTAGCATATTTTATTAGACAATCATATTATGCGTTTATTAACAGCAATTTTTTAACCCTAAAGCATCTTATTAGCTAATCAAACATTTTTTTCATTTTCTATGAAAAATGGGAAAAAAATTCTTATTAAATAATTAAGAGATAATACTGGCCTTTTAATGCTGAAACCACTTCTTATCACGGATGTCTTAAAGATCTATCAAATAAAATTTTGAATTTGGTGTGGCATTCCTCCTTAATTTCAGGCGAATAAAAGTTGATTTACAATATACAGCAGATTTTATTACAGAAAAAGTGTAACTGTAACTTGCACGATTCTTTAGAGATTTTTTTTTAATCAATGCTATATATACTCAAAAAATTTTAAAGAATTAAAGATCAGAAACCTGATTCATTTTCATTAATCTAATCCACGTCATATGCAATGGAAATAAGGTGGCATCATGCTCTATGATTGGAAGGACTTACCTCAGAAACATCTGTATTTGTGAAGAATTTTTTTTTATCAAAGGGCTAGATTTGGATATGATTATATTTATGAGTAGCATGTAATATATCTGATGAAATTTAAAGAACGTCATTCAAGACTTAGTGTATTTGCAATAAGTTTAGTGAATTGTATTTATTTTTATTCGTTTGTTATATTTAAAACAGCTCAAAACAATTTTTTTTTACATAAAATAATTTTGTTAACAAATTGTTGCACATTTTGGAAAGAAATGTATCGCTAGCAAACAATGAAATATTAAGATAACGAACAGTAATCAAGCTCAAGAGTCCACTGAAACAATACAAATTTGGAGCAAAGCAAACACGGACCTTTAAAAACATCAGAGGTGGGATCAGGTGCCATGAAGTAGGCATCCCCTGACGACTGATCACACTCGCCGTGTGCTCTTGCCATGACCGGAAACACGAAAAAATCCGTAGACAAATAAGTTTGGAAATAATGTTCTAAATTGTAATAATTTGTATGAAAAACTCGCTCAACATTCGACTTTATGGTACATTGTATTTGCTGACAAGGTTATTGTATCGACCAGAGAATTTGAGAAAAAATATTGACTTTAAAGGAGACTGTTGATATTCCTGGTTCATAAATTTATTTGTCAATAGCTTGCCTCGTTTTCGAATTTGTTCGAAAGAACATGCTCTTGCGTGTCGAAATAAGTGGGAGACATAAACTCCATATGCAGGTGATAATGGTATATTATTACATAAACAAGGAAAGTTGACGTTAGAAAAGTTGAAGTCATCACGTTTATCATTATGTTTTGTTGTTAGTTTACCATTAACGTATTTTCTAGTAAAATATCCAAATATGAAACAGATGTGTCGTCGTCTGTATACATGTATCTAAATGTCGAATTGAAGGTCACAGCAAGAGACTTCTTTTCATGTAAAAGTTTTTGAATAAATTCTGCTTCATATGAATACAAAAATAGGTCTGATATAGGTCTAAAGAGGCTAATAACGGGGTGCAGCCAGTACCCAAGGGATTTCCGCCAGATTGTTGAGAGGCTTGATCACCAAAAGCAAAAAAACAAAAAATACAGTAGATGAATTTTCAATTTTATTTTTAGATTTTATTTATTTTGGGTATTTCACTTTCTAGAACTGTATTAAGTTGCTCCTATTTTTGCATTAATAACAACCTAAATGCGACTAGATATGATTTGAATGAAGTTTTCACAGAACATTTTAGTTTTTGAGCTGATTTCCGTTTGGAACGTTAACGATGATTTTAAATGAATATTATCACTATGTAAGGAGTTGTGCCAAGAAACACATAATTCAAGTATGTAAATAAGCCCCCTGTCTATTTGGCGATTTGGAATGAAATTATTAATGTCTCCAATATGTTTTAATATTGCGGAACATGATATTGACACTTTCATATTTTTCTGAAACCTGAATTCATAGCCAACATGAAACCCACAGCGATTACATTCATAAAAAATCAGTTCACTATTTCCGCCTTCAACCCACTGTTTTATTGTAGCCCTTATAAGTTATTTTGCCGAAGGTATACATTCCTCTTATTCCCAATTTAAACTTCCTTCATACTTAGTTAATTAACCTGTTGCTTGAAATATGTTACCTTGACTGTGGAGATAAAGTGACAGAAAAGATTTCAGAAATAGCAAAATGGATTTTATTTAAAAACTGAACGAATGCAGAACTGTTCATTAGAATGTAGCGAAATATGTTTAATTCAGATATATAAGAAGCATGTACATTTGCATTCATATTTCAATTTAAATCCTTGTGAGGTATGTATTCAGGCCACATCACATAAATTATTGTCGTGTTGCATAACAGCATTCCTGAAATGCAAATTGAAGAGATAAAACATATTTGGATGCAGTATAAGTAATTGTATATTTTGTCCACCTTCTCAAATATAAAAAAAATGGATTGTGTCTACAGTTCCGTAAAAACACTTTTCTCATTAAAATAGGTCAAGATCCAGCACTTTGAACTAACAAGTAGGTAATTCATTAAGTATTTTGTTGTTTTCGTTAAAAAGAAATCT